GATTCTACAAGATTAGCTTGTTACTTCACTACGCTATTATTGTTTAATTGATGCGATTTTTTTTTCCGGAAAACAAACGAATGAAACTAGTGAATGACGTGATATATGTATATTTTTTTGCCTACTTGTTATTTCAAAAGGTCATTTGAAACAAAAAAACGCAATTGAAACGAAACAAACAAGAAAAAAAATATATAACATCATGAAACGTCTAGATTTTAATGGTCTGGGCATGCGTTTTGACTTAAATTTGGGATTTTTATACCTAAATGAGTGCAACGGATGTGTGAATTAACAACAAATTAAATGTTCCAAAATGTACTGTGTGTGTCATTTATGTTGTTTCGGAATAGTGCATGCGCTACTGGACATAAAATGGGAGAATTTAACATAAAGAGAGCATAGAGGACATGTCTCCTGTTGTTTCTCAGTAAAATAGACACGAACCATTAGGAGCACGTGTCCGATTTCCGAGTATGTGCGCAATATTTTTTTTATGTACATGAAATATGCATGACGACTACGTGTGTCCCGGCGTGTGTGGCCTAAAATATAACATCATCACTGTTATCAGGTAAAGCAGAAGAGATTCATTAGCGTGTATAAACCATCAAACCGAAATGGCTAGTCTTCACTTCTCTCAGCCAACTCAGCCAATGTTTGATGACTTTATTTTCACCACACTATTCAGAAAAGTGTTTCTGTGATAAAGGTGTTTTTTTTTTTTTTGATACAAAATTCTCACAAATCATAGAGTCAGCGAAGCTCTCTCATAAAATACTGCGTTTATGCTTCACTTGCTCACAACGAAACACATCAATTTCACGCCCTTGCTTCGAATTAGCTTCTCGCAATTACACGCATTTTAGTACGCTTTATTCATTTTACGTTGAGAAAGTTACCTTTTTTTCGATACCCACATATCGCTCTACCAAAACCCTCAATTCACTTACAGAATTCCCGTTGTACAGATTTAAAAGAAATTCACTCTCCGATCAAAGTCGCTTGTAGTGGGACAACATGAGCAATTTATTCATATACGCTAAAATAAGTCTCGAATGTAGAGAAAAATTAAGCAGAAAAAATAATAAGGCCACCAATTTCGATATTGCTGAATGTTTATCCTGGATTTGTATGTCCGAAAATCTGTATCCAGTTCATGATGAAAAAGTGATATTATGTACACAATCGAATGGTAGTGCATTGTCACACTTAAAATTTGTCAAATGCTAAATTGAAAAAAAACGCATTGAAAACATTTCAACTCAAAATGACTGGTTATTTCAGCAGCCAAACATCCCATATAATTTACATTTCGTGTTCCAGCATTTTCCGTTGTGTCTCGTGTTGCAATTGTCTGTGTATGTGTAGAGTGTTCTAGAAAAGGGAAAAAATAAAATTGAAACTCAATGATCAGATTCAGGGCTAAAATTAATTACACCGCAAACGCCTAGATACAGTCACATTCTCGCTCGCTTGACATTATGTGCACTTTGTGCCTAAAATTTGCACAGATACTCTCCAAACGCAATATCAAAATCATCATTTCAATTCGCAAAGAACGAACGGATCGGACATGCACACTCTCAGTTTTATATGTGGATGCTTTTTCCCGCGCGCATACAATTTTAAATGGATTTTCAACACTTCAACCCATACTTTGTCACCGAAAATCTACACGTATGATAAATTAACGGGTATAAAACAACGTCATTGGGCATTATTTGGTACGTCCTAACTGTTGATACAAGTGGAAACCGAATGAAATGGACGATTACATGCTCTCTGCAGAAATGGTGAGATGGATTAAATAATGATATTCGTATCGGTTCTGCAAACGCTTCATGGTGATGTTCATTGGCACTCTGGATCTCCTTCTATATTTGTGAAATATTGGTTCGGTTTCGCCTTTTCAACGGTATGTGTATGTGTGCATGCCTGGTCCCTTTACCACTTTCAAAGTGGTGCAATTCAATATATCTACTAAAAGCACTATTCATGTATTTGTCTCCATTCGGCTACTAAAATTAAGAGTGACGTTTTTAAAATGTGCTTGTCTGTTCGACCTTTTGTTTTGCTTCACCGTGTTTTTTTTTTGCTGTTTGTTTGTTCGTATGGTCTTCAGTCTCTTTTATTTGCTATGAGAGTATAGGCATTATAGCACACACATACACATCAACAAATGCTCACACCAACTTTGACTGTTGTGCATTTATCCAGCTATTTTTCAAATTTGAATGTGAGTGACGCCAATGGTTCATCCACGCTCGTTCATAATGTATGTAGATTTACTTCATCTCGTTTATAAATATTTCATGTTTTTTGAGTGATGCATTTGAATGGTAGAGAGTTTGTTTGTTTTTTTGTTGCTCTATTTGAATGTGTGGCTCGCGTACTAAAATCAACCACGCACGTTTTTCATGTGACAATAGATCGATTGGCTTTTTAGACCATGGCCATGCACCATCAACATTTAAATATACATGTATCAATCGAAGTGTTGAAATGTGGAACTTTAAGACGATTATCTTTTTGACACATGCCGATATAGCCTAGAATGGCAGGCACAAATCCCGAAATGGATAGTTAACATTTGTTGATTGCTAAATTATTCATACACATGAAGACAAAAATAACGGGAGCGTTGCCAAAGAGAAGTGGACATATGCAAATGCCACCTACAAAAATCTTCCAAGCACACGAAGCGGCCAATTAGTGAAATGCTAGGATAAATCAACACCTCAATAAATTATGTTCCTTCCCATTTTGATGAAGAATGTAGAGCAAAGTCGAAGTGATTCCGGTGAATCGGCCAAAATAGAGAGCATTTCAAAAATGAACATCAATCGTTTACTTGACAACCTTAAACAAATATTCAAACAAAAGTAACCGGATATTTATGTAATTTTCTTAAACAAAAGCACCGAAATCAATTCTGATCCCAAAAATAAGTGGTGTACATGCTACAAAAGTCGGTAGAAACTCGGGCACACAAAAGAGATCGACCACTACCAATGCAGTTTGATTAATACAAAAGGAAAATCAAACAAATAAATTAGAGCAGTTTTATTTGTGTTTTTGCCCCCCCCCCATCGTCAGAATAGAGAGTTTCCGTTAGATAGCGTGACTTATGCTATCGCTGCAGCATTTAACATTTAACTGAAAAAGGATCTTAACCGCGAATAGAGAGAGCAACATTTCTTCATACTGGGGACTGGCGACGAAATGACGCAAGCCGTGCTTCACCACAGCTTCCATTCAAATGATTATTATATTTGCTAATATGCAGACTGTAAATTAAAAATCAATGCAATTCAACAGAGAAAAAAAAAGAACAATCCTGCGGTGTCATTTAACCGAAACCAGCTAAATTCGGCAAAATTATCAAGAATATGAGGTTATACGAATGAAGCGAAGCGAAACGAAATGAACAACACCAACGGAACGTGTATATATCGAGTATTAATTTAATGCTAGGGAGAGTTCCGAAACGAAATGAATATTGAATTCATTTACACTTGTCGACTCCATAGGAATGCCAACAACCAACAAATAGATCGAAAACACAAAATTGCTTAATTTTTGTTTTAAAAAACAAATACGAGAAGAAGAGATAAACTCAATTCAAATGCTAACTCATGAAATAACGCTCTACGAATCTTACCCATTCTCGTCTCATGAAACTTTCAACACATTCAGCGCTAACCACGATTCCATCAAATATTCTATCAATTAATAACCAAACAACGTGCAAATCCGAAAACCTTCATTCGGCACAAGTTGTCACTGATTTTCGTTCTTTTTTTTCTGGCCTGCAACTCATGGTATTTGTGAAAACGGCAACGATTTTTCGGTGTCGGTTTTTGTTGCTGTTTTCAATAGCAGCTAGCATAAACAAATATACAATTTTTCCGACCAATCTGATGATAGCCGTATGGTTCAGTAGCGAAAGCTCCGCCTCCGAAAGAGGAGTGGTAACAACAGCGCGCACTGTAAATGTTGTTAATTTTGTTTTGTACAGTGCGCTGTGCTATATGCAATGTGAACACAAAAAGAATGATCTGACGGTAGAGATATTCCGATAATCAAATTCCATTTTGGTGCTTCTCTCATTTGCAAGTATCGTTTAATATTATTATTGCGGGACTTTATATGCCGCAAATGTTTATTTTCACATAATTTCGATTAGGAATATTCACACACACACACCCACACACACACACACACACAATGCTTTGCAATCACAGATTTTAATTTCAGTTTAAATCAATTGTCAAGTTGATTCCTAACATTTTTATAATTTAGAAGAAGATTTTCCTATCTTCAAAATTAAGTTTGCTACTGTTTCTTGTCGCTTGAATTATTTCACAGAATTTTTTTTATTTTCTGCTCAAATGCTATCACCCATTTAAATTAAAGCGCTATTTCGCATGCGACTTTGATATCAGTTTGAAAGAGGTGTGATTCGACTTTAAAGTAGTGCCCAGTGTATTACTGATTGAATCAGTATTGTATTTTTTATGTAGTTTGGGCCCTTTCGCTTTACAATCTGTGATATTCGCCGAGCAAAAAATACAATTTACGACAAGGTTGGTGCTGCTTCATCACCAATGATCTCACGTGCCTGCACACGTATCCTATTCAAAATAATACATGACTTTTGTTCAATGTGGATTTTTCTCTCTGTTGCTGTTATTGTTGTCTATGTCACTTTTATCGTGGAACAGTGGAAGTAACTATTGTTTCTATCAAGCCCATGTATCTTTTGCAAATCGCTAATGCTCATCATTGCCATTGTTTGTGTGAATATGCCTACTGTGTCGAAGACACACAACTATACGTACGGACCTATAATGCAGCAGCAGCAGCAGTAGCAGCAGTGCTCATGTGTAACGCTTTACGGTGGCAGTCAAAGCGTAAAATGTGAAGCCAGATTCTTCTCTCCGTATGTATAACACGTTTATTAGTATATAGAAAGGCGCCAGCGTCCCAGTAGAGTCAGTCACACTTTGGTGTTCGCACGTTCAACATTATTTTTTTTCCTTTCTCATTTCTCCTTCTCTCTCTCACTATGTTCGTCCCCAAAATGAAGAATGATGCTCTTTGATTCGGAGGTGATCATACATTGTTTGGAAGTTTGTTAAATAATATAGTACGATTTTTCATGATGAACTAATAATGAGTGAAGTGAGTGATGATTCATGGTGTTTCGAGTCAACGAATTAATTCTACCAAATTATAAACGTGTGCAAAATTATCATACGAAATACTGTTGTGATCTTCGAACGTGTTAAGTTCCGTTTAAAAATAAATTGTACATCAAAATTTCTCTTTTTGATAGACAAAGTGATTGGGATTATGGTTGCAAAAAGTTTCTGTTTAAATTCAATTAACTAACTATTGAAGTGATCGATGAAATTATATTTTGATGACACGGTCGAGAAAAAAAAATTATTCCAAAGATTAATTTATTGATCTTATTATGGCTTTAAAAATGCTTTACCGTGGGCCGAGTACACGTCTTGAAACACTTATTGAAAAAATTCAACAAAATAAAGACAGTAGCCCAGGTACGGAGTGAATTATTTATCATAAAATAAATCTAATCATGTGTGTGATGTTGTTTTATCATTTATCATGCATATTGCATCGAAACCTGTTACTCAATATTATCGTTGACAAAATTTGAAATACTTCTGCACTCGATGTTATATTTTATTCATATGGGTAAAACTCAAGTGTTTGTATGTGAGCTAAACCTGTACAGAAAGCCGAAGACTTGTAATCGGAAGAAAATCTCTGGAATAAGTCGCTCACCACAATCAACTTGAAATTTATCATACGAGTTTTATTTTTTATTTATTATTATTTTGATTTAGCTTCAATCACTCACTTATTTTTGCCATGAATCCAAATAGAAAATTCGCTTATGAAAAATGTTTCATTTTATACAATTTTATGGATCAAAATTGTGAAATGAGAAAAGGAAATCTTCCCCTTGATTATTTCGATAGAAAATTGATTCATCACAATTGAATCGGTAGGACTTGATTTCGGGTAGAGGTGTGTGCAAAAACGTTATTTGAATCTGGTACGTGAAAAAAAACCCTTTAAAATTGCCGTAATTCCAACTACAATTTTGCGAGTGCGCCGGAAGCAAGTACTCCCTTTTCGATAAATGGGTTCAAGTTTCACTTTTGCAAACATATCGATGAAGTTCCGAAAATTAAGTCTCATCAATTTAAAAAAAAAACCATCTTCCGTTGGATTGATTCAGTAGAATCTCGGAATAGGTAATTGAAATGTCCCAGAGGTGAATCAAATTCCTGTGACATTTCAAAAGACCTGGTTTTTTCTTATTTTCCGGAGATTTGTGATATTTCATCCTTAAAATGTTGAGACCAAAAAAAAAATAATTCTTCAAACCAATACTCTCTTTGCAAAAAAAATCATGAAATTTTCCAAATGCGAAAACTTTTCTGGGCAATAAACTTTTGTATGAGTTGATTTTTCCGATATTCTACTGTAGAATAGAAGATTTCTGAAGAAAACACTTCATAAATCTTGAATCATTTGATCAAATTCGATGAACAAAAACACTGATCAATTTTGGATTTCTTTGAATCGAAGATTTCGTATCTCTCCTCGCTTTCGTCGTTCGAAAAGTCGCACTTCAAATGTAATGTGAACTATAAGAGTATATTTGTGTTCCGATTGTAGTGGATGTGAATAATAATTTGCACTCGGTTTCAATTTACTTTTGAACATCTTCGCACCGAATAGATATCCACGAAGTGTGATTGAATACAATTTACTGCTTAATTGAACGTATCCTGAAACGCCTATGCTTGTATTCATCTTAATTTAGTTGTACTTTTTATGATCACACTTTTAATGTGTGATCATCATGCTCCTCTGCTATTAAATTCAATTAAAACAAAGGAAGATATGGAGATCCCTCATTAAATTACAGACACACAAAAATCTACGCGCGCATGCAGTACCACTATTTTGTTTTCGTGTATTAAATAGATAATGCTTCCGAACTGACGTGGTGCTTAAATGCAATGAATCTACACCCGACTCGTGTACCGAATGAGCTACGACTCAAGAGAGCATTTATCGGCTTTCAGAACGCAGATTTAATTGTCGTTTCTTTAGCACATAGGATGTTGACTTAATGAATGTTATTGGACGCTGCATTATTAGAACAATCACGCAAAATAGAAGCGCATATTAATTGGTGACATGGAACGCGTAATTGATTCAATAAAAAAATTTCGTCAAAAACAAAGTGTCAACAGTTTGGTTGCTTCCGAACACAAATTTTCAACAATTAAGAAATAATCCACCGGATCATTAAGTTTGGTTGCGGTGTTACTTTTGATTATACAAATAACATATTCGTTTTTTTAAACCAATTGCCTCCAGCTAAATTGAGAAGACGAATTTGTTGTAAACAACATGTATATGGACAATTGGACATGCTTGTCCATTTTAAAATGTATATTTGACATCAAAGCGTGCAAATATTTTATTCCAAATAGAAGAACTGCTTAGCTACGACTAAATCTGAGAACCTCTTTGAGTTTCAGCAAGCTTTTCGTATATTCGTTAGGAATTGGCATAGTGTATCTGCATCAATATGACTGATTTGATGATACAATGTGACAAAAAAAAGTTGATTAAGATTTAGCCCACTTTGTTTCACCCACTTTCAAATGTCTCATCGAGACTAACACATGATATATATAAAACTAAAACGGAAGAAAATTATGAAACAAATATAACTGAAACAAATATAACTGAATCAAATATGTCTTGAATACAACATAAATGTCATCAACCATCGTTTATAAAATGTATATTTAACATTTGTCTTCCGTTTGCATTACACTTCATTGACAGATATCCAAAGAACAGCCATTCGATGCATTAGTTAACACTCTATAGTCTTCGGTATATCAATAGTAATTTTGTATTTATCACCGGTTGCTTAGGAATTGTTGTGTATACTTTGTGTCCGATGTGCCTCCACTCCACTGCATGGTATCAATGGGAGCAGCAAGTGTTTGCGAACGTTTTAACATTGTAATTGTCTTAATTGCTAAATGACGAACGCTTCGTTCCGTTTACCGCAATCGGTACAATTAATGCATATTTTAGAGTAAAACACATATCTTACATACTCTATTTATTGTGCGCAAATACAAAAACAATTTATTCATTTGTTCACTTGTTACAGTCAATTTGTATCGGGGTGGCCATTGATAAAATGTATCATATCAGTTTCTTCAATTAAAGAATGCACACATGTTACATTCACCGCTGGTGTGTTTAGGTATGCCTTAAGGATACGAAAGAATCGTCCAGTTCTGCTAAAAGAAGTTTTTTTTTCACTCTCAAATCATATGCTCACCATTCATTGCTCGTCAAACAATGCATCTGAATCCGAGATATTTCATTCAATGTAAAATGCGAATAAAGTATGGTTTGTTTCGTTTTGTGAAGAGATTTCATTCGTGTTGATGAAAAGCACTTGTGCGCTTTCCTTTTATTGATTCATTTTCGCCTTGAGTTCCAAAAAAAAAGTGTCTTTTTCTATATTTCATCATTTGTTTGCTATGCTTTTGCCAAGGAAAAATTGTGATTGATGGAATCTAATATATTTTCGTGTCTGACCAAATTTCATTTATTCTCATTATGTGGAAACATATCCAAGGGTTCTGCGTATTTTTTTCCCTTGGCTCGTTGGTAAAATGTAACCTATTATTTGTTCTCAACATACGCGAAAAAAAAACAATTTCATTGTGAGTCATTTACGTCAAATTGGCACATTTGTAGACACATCAGATCAACTGTGGCAATTTTCAAGAGGGTAAATCTGCAACCGCAAACCCACAATTTATGATGGAGCAACCCTTAAAAGAGCATTATCAATTTACAAATGTTAGCACTTTGATTCCAGCAACACATACACAATAGATACCGTATGCGAGGCATTGCACATAGCACATATTGATTTAAAGGTGGAAAATAAACGTCAATAGGAAAATGAATGTGAATTGCTAAATGAGATCATCATAAATTTTGTTTCAGCTATTTATTGATGGATTCGTTGAGTTTATTTGAATGTGAATAAATTAAGAAAATCCACTTTTTGGTTTTTCATAAGCCAAAAAAAAACCCATTAGGCGGATTTGATGCGCGAATTTACATACATTCGCGAAAGAATTACATTTAGTGGTAGAACATTAGTACAGTTTAACATGTAAGCCTGAGAGATGTTCTGCATTGTATTATATACTCATATAATTCTTCGTTTGTACTCTTTTTCCCTGCTCTTTTTCTTTACGACAGTAGATATTGATTCATCAAATACATCACCAAGCTATTCGCCGTCACTTCCTGACATGGCATCAACTCCAAATTTCGAAGTGGATAATATTCTTAGCATTAATAACAATAATAAAATCACAGCGAAACAACATCATCATCATCATCAGCAGCAGCAGCAGCAGTATCATCATTCGGAGCATTCACTTGGTGAGAATGGTGGTATAAATGAGAACATATTGCCCGAACGGGATGAAAAGCATGATGAAGAAACGGGAACCACACCGGCAATGAAAGGAGCTCAACGTATATCATCGGAAACAGGGGTTGCCTATTCGCCGATCAACGCCACTATTAAAGTATCGTCAAGAGTGCATAGCGAGCAACCCACAATGACGACAGCAAAGAGCAAAGGGGAAGGCAGTCGACTCGGAAAATATGCTAAAATTAATGGAACCACATCACAATTACCATCAAATGCGACTAACAATAACGTCGAAGGCTCTTATCATTGTCAGTTTTGTGATAAATCATTTCCCAGGCTGGGATACTTAAAAAAGCATGAACAGGTGAGTAATAATGAACACTTCCTTTCCGTCTATGCATCTAGTTTTCCAAGCTAAAAAACAAACGGAAGAAGAAAAAAAATCCAAGAAGAAGTGTTAATAATAAAAGTAAAGCTGTCTTTTTAAAGGGCACCGCATGCTCGTTCAGCGGCAAATTTTTTGATATGCCGAAAAAGTGTGTTGTGTGTATGTGAGTAAAGACTTGAATGATTTTAATTTGGAAATTATGGCCAAATGGGTTTCAACACGTTCACCCCGACGCTTGGCGTGACCTCGTAAAAGCATACGTTTTTTTTTGGTTTTCTGATGGCTTGGCGCTGCGTGCAAACGCTTTCCATACAAATTTTTTTTGTTCGTTCCTATCAAACGTACAAAATCGCATCAAACTCGTCATTATCATCATCTACACATCAAACGTGAATAATGGAACGATGCATACATGCAGTAGCTTTATTATTTAACGATAACTTACAAAATGTGAATATAAACAAGAGAGAAAAACTAACAGAACGATTTATTATGTATTTTGGTCACATATCGTTCTCTTTTTTCGCTGTTTCGGTGTCGCTTTTTTTTGTTGTTTAAATTTTATTTACTCTTTCGCTTTCAGCACGGATCGGTGTGATCAAAAATCGTTCGTGGAACGTTTTATAGTCTCTGTGCACAGTAGCAAAAGCAAAACTAAAGAAGAAGACCGTTCGACATGTATACGTTTTTCTGCTTCACACTTGTACTTATTCGATTATAGTTGGCATTCGAATGATTATAGTATGTTTAGATGTTTGCACGTCTGGACAAACACTCCGAACACAAGACCGATGGAAAAGACTGATCGCCATCCACATAAATGATAATAATTTGATATGACAATCGATGCACACGATCGTTTCACGATGAAGTAATGTTGCCAAACACCATTTCATCAGAATTGATGAGGTTGAGAGCTCAGAGCACAGATTCAAATATTATATGAATTTATCACCCGTTGATGATTTTGGTGGTTACGACTTCTCTACATTTTCATCAAATTTGCGATATACACAGGGCCAACATCCAAGCTCCTCTTCCGATGTCCTGAGGCAATATCTTCCAAGAAATGGAGTTTTATAATGAACAATTTGATTGAGACTAGGCATTTGTTTTACATTCAATTAGTGAATTTGTTAATTTTATGCAACACGCGTGCTACAAGTGCGTACTAAATGTGCGAAGAAACTGTATAAAAAATGCAATTAGAATGATTTATTTGATTAAACACTTCGATGAAGCTATTTTTCCACATTTTATTTTTCGTAATTTTCCAACAAAAAGATGTTATGTCAAATTGTATTTACTCATTTCCGGAAATATTTGTAAATTATTGTGCACACCAAACTCACTAAGAGATCATATTATGCCATGTAGAATTTTTGTTCCACGACCATACAAGTCCTTGGTCAGACCCTGTCTTTAAATTTAGAAAAAAGAATTAAATTGAACTTAAAAAAAACGTTCGGCACGTAGAGTGTAAAATGAGAGAATCACAAACACAACCGAATACATCAGTTCTCTGTGGCATTGATGAACAAAGAACAAGTAACCCGAAGATATTCATAAATAATATATGAGAGTCTTCATCTTCTTGCCATACAAGGTGATCACAAGACAAATTCCGTAAGAAGATACTGCAAATAAATGCATAATTTCGAAGCGCGGAATGGGTGTTGAAGCACAAAATCAGCTCATTGAAAGTTTGCATTAGTTTTTTGTTTCAATGTTGCTTCTAGTCTTTAAAATTGAGAAAAGAAGAAATAAAATCACAATTATTTTGAACAGGTGGAATATTGATAAAAATTTCGGTTCGGTTGCTAATTTTTTTTCGAATATTAATAGTCTCAATGAAAACTATGAAGAAAAATTCGGGAATCTGCATAGCTTGAACAACAACGACCGTGACATTGTCTCTTTGAAAGTAAGTCCTAATGAAAAGTATTGATGCTGCCATTTCTGTGTCATCTGAACAATAGGGTGGTGAGAATAGATGTTCGAATCATATATGAGACGCTATTCCACATCAGTTTTATCTCATTTTTGCTCGAAAATGGGTTTTCATATCTACCTTTTAAATGAGAACCTATTTTTATCACGTTTTTGGGCAGAATCCATTCATGTCTTGTTTTTCAAAATAACAAAAAAGTATGAAGCGTTTTTTGAAATCAGGGTCTCATTTTTGACCGTATTGTATTCAAGATAAGTCACAAAACCGATGAAAAGATTGTTGTGCACTTCAGTTTATTTCAAAATTTTCAAAAAGATATTTAATGTGAAACGTATTGTGAAATTCAATTGAGACGAAATATTAACGAGAATGATAGACCGATTTCTCGTAAGTTACGAGACCGATCCCGTAAAAAAGATGCAATTTTTCGGTGGGATTCTGAAATAACAAATGAAAAACGTCTCGTAACCATAAATGTAATTCAACATCTTTTTATCCGATACAAAGTATATCAAATGATAATAAAATTAAAAGTTAACACTTCAAATTATTTGTTATGGCAAAGGCTCGTTTGGATATCGTGGATTCAGTTACCCAGAAAAATATTTCAAACGCTCCACTCTATTGAATCGTGTAAAATCGTGTTGCATATTTTGCGCTGTTGGCGAGGTTCAAAACGTAACGATATCGACTACAATAATATCAAGTTATTTAAAAAGCAACGCGTAAATCGTTCCCGATAAAAGAAATATCAATGCAATACAAGAATTTAATAATTATCTGTGTTAAAGATCTCAAATCAAAAGAACATGATACAAAAAAAGCAAATAAATGCCGTTGCATGAAGTGAAACGATACAAACGATATACATGATGCGCACCACAACAATTAGCGCATTTTTTACGTTTCCTTATTTTTACTGTTGTATGCGTCGATATGTTGAGAATATTAGCAATTCTTTTGACATGTTTCTCTCTCAGCGCCTGGCTTCCACACAAAACGTTTTGACTTTCGTTTATTCATTGCTTTCTAACCATTGTAAACAGAAGTTAAGTTGTTCAAGATGTGCATCAACTCCTAATTTTCACAGCAAATATGAATTCAATTTGAATTTGGTACTCAGTTAAAATCTTAAATGAAATTGTAGCATTACAAAGTTGATATAAACTCATAGACAAACTATATTTATTTTAATCTTTCCGTACCACCTTTCCATGGTCAATATAATTTGTCTTTAATCGCTTATATGATCTTCTTGGGGTTAAAAATTCGTTAGTAAATTTATATTTATTTTATTCGTTCTTTAGATAAGGTTAATACGTGTGCCATATTGGCCAATTGTTTTAATTTCGATAGTGTCTCTATTTTTTCATCATTTTCATTGCGAACAATTGTAAAACTTGCAGACAAAAAATATTCTGTACGATATCAAAAAAGTATAGCATATTTGCCGAGCACATTAGCATCTCACCATTAGATTTATGCGGTGGCAATATCATTTTTCGGGTAAATTATAACGGTTTTTTATACAATTGTAGCCTTTATAAATGAAATGTGTATCAAGGCATACGCGTTTGCAGTGAAATGTCAACCAACCGAAAGGTATTATTTCGGGAAAAATGTAACGTTCGGTTGTGAAACATGTGCGATTGTATGAACTGAGGTGTCGCACGGTTTCATCTTCAGATTTCATTGAATCCATTTCACAACAGCCGAATTGAAGCTGTGCGATGTCATTTTGCGCTTTGGCTCTTTCACTTAATTTTTTTATTGGCCGAATCCATTGTTCCATCTTGTTGAATTCTTTTTATCATATATATTTGTTATGCATCATGTAAAACAACAACTATTTTGTTATTTGAATGTTACGATTGTGTGTTTTTTAATAGCTTTATGACCTGTAACAGGCCGTAAACAAAATTAAAAACATGAATATGAAGAGATTTAGTGAACAGTATGAGCGTGCTGTAAACATCATAAAACGAAATCAAACAAGAAAACTGTAAATTCTAGAATCCAAATTAATTGTGTTGGGTTGTTGTTGTGTTTGCCGCCACACTGCCGCTGCTTCTGCTATTTCTGTGTTGTGTCATTCCAAAAATTGCCATTGTTTCACTGGTGTTGACCATTTTTCTTATCTCCTTTTTTTCATGATTCTTTCATTTATTTTGTCGTACACCAGAACTTGTTTCTTATAAAAAAAAAATTGTTTGGTTGAAGAAAATGAAATAAAAAAAATGAAGAAGCAAAGAAAAACGTACAAATGCTTCTTGGTTACTGTCAATGTTTGACCTCTATATTCTACTTTTAATTGTTTTTAGAGTCATGCGGAGCACATGCCATTCAAATGTGAATATTGCGCACGATTGTTCAAGCACAAGAGGTCACGGGATCGACATACAAAACTACATACGGGAGATCGGCGCTACCGCTGTCCACACTGCGAATCCGCTTTTTCAAGAAGGTGATTTTCTATTTAATGTTTTTCTCTCGATTTTGATTTATGAAACGTTTTTCTCCTTCTGATGATTATGAAGAACAAAAACCATCGCAGATGATATAATGTTAGAATCGATCGGTAATCTTTCTAGTTTTGATTATTATCTACAGCTAGGCTTCATTTTAAAAAAATAGAGTTTTTTTTTATTTTTCGTACGGTTTTCGACCAAGATTTGACTATAAAATGGATTTCATTTTTCAAAAACTGATTACTGAAACCAATTCGTTTACCTGAAAAATATAAAAACGGATAATTTTTTGCTAAAAACTCAACACAAAACGGCTATTCGCTTTGGTGCGACAAGACAAGAAAATCCGATTATCCGACACTGGGCACACATTTTATCGCAAAATATCGCTGAGATAACTTCGGCATATCTGCCAAGATTTGAATATTTCTTTTGTTCAAATTTTGAGATATTTTTCCATGTGTTATTGCGCTGTATTATCCATTTATCGTTTTTTTTCCTTCAAATTGTGGGATAAAATCTAGAAAAGTCCTTCAATAAGCGTAAAAATATATTCGACGTAAAAGAAATGGTATGTTTGAAATGACTTGATATAAATTAACTCATGAATGCATACTTAACTTCATAAAACCCCTGAAAAGTGGGAAAAATTCAAACACCTGTGTAAAGTGCATCCTACGTCGCATCGCATTTCTTCGAGGGGCATTTTCACTTGTCAAGGTGTCTTCTTTATTTTTGGGATTTACAATATTGGTTGAACCAATTTGGTTAAAGTCAGGCGGTTCTTTAGTTGCTTATAACGTGAAAACCAAAATTTGACGAAAACCAAGCTTAACGTTAAAACTTAATGCTTAACACTGAGGGTTGATAAATTATCGTAATGAAGAGAAGAGTTTCGTTTCATACTTATTATTATTATTGTTATTATTATTGAGAATAAATGAAATGCTTGTATTCATTACATTAGCGATCACTTGAAAATACACATGAAGACCCACGACAATCAAAAACCATTCCAATGCACAGTTTGTAATCGTGGCTACAATACGGCCGCTGCGTTAACCTCCCACATGCAGAGCCACAAGAAGCAAGCAGCACTTCAAAGGAACAGTACATTAAACTACAGGTAGGCAAATACAGGCCGCATCCAATTATAATCGTAGAGACTAATTCATTTTTCATTCCATTATTGGCATAAGTAGCCCAAGATCCACGGGGTCAGCGTCAAGTAGCAACAGTTTATATAAACGCAAATACTCACCACATATTGATCAACGAGATACCCCAAGCCAGTCTTCGCTTTTGGCTGTCAATGCTAAACGCTTTGCCTATCACAGCAACAATACCTCAATTTTGTATTGTATCTACTGCACTAAGAATGATTTCGAAAATTTGGAGCAATTACATTCTCATGTTCAACAAATGCACGCTATTGTTTTGCGAGAGGTGAATATCAACCAGAATGAATGGCATAATTTGGAGTTCTTAAAAAAAAATGTTTTTTTTCTGTTTTAATCGATTAGGCAGCAGCAAGTCCATTTTCTGGAATTAGCCCTAGTCTTCATTTGACGTGTGAATTTTGCACCATGAAGTTTCCATCGATTTCTAGTATGTTTCAACACATTCGTTCGATGCATATAGATCGAATTGGTAATCCAGCCACTTACATGGAACACATTGGTAGACGATCGACTGGTTTCGCCGATGCAAATGACAATTACCGTCGAAAGTCTAGCGAAAATTTTGTGCATCCACTCGAGTATTCGAAACCCGAAGAAAATCATCTTAAACACGAATCAAACACATCGAAAGGCGAACACGATACAACTGGAAAAAATCTAAATGAACAAGCAAAGCACCTTCAAAATGGTGACGTTAAACAAGATGATTTACCGACCGATTTGAGCAACAAAAAATCGGAATCGAAATTGAGTGAAAAACGTGAAGATTCCAACGAAGTGAATCACTCACCAAATAACAGCCCAATCGATTCATATGTAAACCGAAAGCGACTACAAAAAACTACACCCGACTTCACGAATACCAGTCCAGATCCATTGCGATGCAGTCAATGCACTTTGATCCTCCCAAACATTGAAGCTTTCCGTGATCATCTTCGAAATCATTTGGTACGTGGCGAGTTGAAGAACTTTGTGTGCTTCCAATGCGGTCTCACATTCACCAACCAAAACGAGTACGAATTGCACGTCTCATCCCATTTCTTAATCAGTACCACAGAGTATACGTGTTCGTTTGGGTGTAATAAACATTTTGTTAACGCTGAAAGTATGCAAAAGCACTTGTTTGATGCGCACGCTCAAAATGTTTGGAAGTGTGGTATTTGTTACGAAATTTTCGAGTCAAAAATGGCAATACAAATTCATTTTGCGATGACACATTCAAATAAAGAGGACTCATTTAGGTGCTCAGCATGTATGGAAGCGTTCGAAACAGAAAATGAATTTAAAAACCACGTACGAACGCAGCATTCATTAATGCTTTCACTGCCAAATCTGCAATGTTCCCTATGTAGAACGGTTTGTTCGTCTGAGCTAGAGATGCATTTTCACATGGCAACTCATTCACGGCAAGGAGTTGCATTCCGTTGCACCTTATGTCCAGAGGCATTTCATATAGAGTTTCTTTTAGAACGCCATATGCAAACACATCACTGTCTTCCGGAGAAGGATTCGCTGGGACCGTATAAGATCGATAATCTTAACAACAACATGTTTGACTACAGTTATGCGGCAAAGAAACTCTACCCTTTTAGCACCGGAGCAGGACCAACGAAACTCTTTGATTCACTGAACATACCATCATCATCGTCAAGCCCTGCATCATTGAAACTACCGCCTCCGTTGTACGAACTTTATGATAACATCGGAAAAACGTTTTCACAGCACACTCACACTCTTTCGAAACATTTTTCAAATATTTCCAAATCGTTTTCCGAACATTTGGACCAATCGCAACAATTTTCAAAACCATTTGCGGAACATTCGCCAGAAATTCCATCGTTCTTAAACTTGTACAAATCGGAATATGCATCGAAAAGTTTTCTAAGATCCAATCCACTGGTATTCATGCCTCCAACGTCTACCGCCGATCAACATTACAATGAGAAAAAAGCATCTGCTGACACACCACTCGCATGCAATGTCTGCAATATCTGCGATCGCAAAGACTTCCAAAGTGAATTGGAAATGTTGACACATCAAAAGATCACACACAATATGAAAACCGGCGTTAGCCTCAATTGCGCCTATTGCAACGACAACTTCCGGTCAAGGTAAACGCATTGAACACGGAAATTGTTTTGTTGTTTTTTTTAACTCCTTCTTTCCATTTCTGAATTAGAAACGAACTGGAAAATCACATGAAAACAGTCCACACCGGTGGCAAGCACAAATGCTTGATTTGTGACGAAATTTTCCCATCGGCGGATATTCTCGCTGAACATAAGCTGAATCATTCGAAAGTTGGGGTTCAGGGGAAATGCACCTACTGTTCTGCAAATTTGCCGGATATCCAAGGCTTCAAATCTCATATGGCCGAGCACGGAAATGTTGAATTACCGGTTCAGTGCATCTGCTGTCGCCAAACATTGAGTTCACAATTCGAAATCGATCTGCATGCCAAGTAAGTTTCAACCCTTTTGAATAATATATGGGCTCACTTTCGATTGATAATAATTCAATAACATACGATTTGATTACAAATAGGTTTCATGTGAGTTCATCATCCAGTGATGGTGAGGAGCGCAACTGTGCACTGTGTTTAGTCGCACTGCCACCCAAATATGGATCGAAAGTGTGCAAAAAATGCTACGAAAAACACAACAATCACAACAAACATGCTGCATATTCCCTTTCAAAGGAGATCGACCTAACAGTAAAAGAAACTATTTTGAAATCGAATATTGAACCATTGCCTGACCATCATTGCAATCTGTGCAAAAAACCATTTTCAACTGCAACCGAATTGGAAGAACACCTAATTGAGCATTCGTTTCGAGGATGCGAGGAGCGTGGCTACAATTGTTACATATGCTCAGCGATTTTCACTCTGCCGTCTGGATTGCATCAACATATGATAGAACACGGTCCAAGCTATCGTCCGTATGACTGTAATCTTTGCGCCAAAAAGTTCTATTTCCGAGCCGAACTCGAGAATCATCTCATTGATCATGAGTCTGGCCGCATCAGCACCACCCCGGTGCAAACACCATTAGATGTGCATGCAAATACATCGAATGGCATAAAACGAGAACAAAACCAAATGATAGACTCGAACGAAGACAGTGATAGCGAAAAAGACATCAATCCTGATACTAACATCAAATCCGAATGTCAGCAATATTCGACTGAAACAAACGCTGAAGAGGACGACGAGTATATTGAAGTTGAACAGATTGGTGAGAACATCTCTGTCAATGGGGAGATGAACAATGGCAATCGACTAAAAAGCCCAGAGATTGACGATCAACGTGAAACATCATGCGAAAAGGACTGTTTGAGTGATGAAATATAAAATATTAATTCGCCTTGTGTGGAAGAATGCACAATTCCACATGGCACGACGTCTGTAAAGGGTGTACATAGAGTAATTTGAATTTATTTAGAAACTGCACTGAACGTTTTATTTTAATAATCACGATGATTTTGATCAATCAATTTATGATATTAAAAAGGTGTCGTTTTCTTGGTTTTGTGAAACTCAACGTAAAAAAAAGAACTAAAAGTTATAAAAATAATAGGAAAATAATAATTTTGATTAAATGGGAAAAATTTGCAAATGGAAGAAAGAAGAAATCAATGTCTTGAATCTTCTTTGGTTCTAACTTTAATATATAATATTTAGATATAATATTCAAACAGAACAATTATCTCAATATCATACCACATATTGCAGCTAGGATTGATTGCATCTGAATGTTCCCGCATTCTTATGAGGCTTATGCCACAAAAGTTTTTTTTGTCAGTCTAGTTTTTAGTCGGAATTACTCGTTTGCTGAATATTCAGGTGTGAAGGTGCTATTTCCTAGCACCTTAAACGGCAGTGAATCACGTGGATTGGTCTGACCCTCTGGCGATTTATATCGATTTCATATCATAAATCTTCTATTGAAAAGGGAAGAGAGAAAAATGTATGAGTTTTTTTATTTTTCGATTTTTTTCACAGATTTTTTGAAGATTTTCCTCATGGTTCTTCGACTTTTAATATATTTCCGATGAATTAGAAGACGAAAAGGTTAAAAATTAGGAAAATCACAAAGCAAAAAATCACCATAATATCATAAAATCCAAAATCTCATTGATTTTTCTTCCCGTTCCGACTGAATGGCCACAAAGTTCATCCTGGGGATGGTTCAGGCCGATTTCTTATGTACAACTTGAACAATTTAGCAACAATTTGTTGCCCATCCAGAAATCTGGGGAACAAAAGTCGCTCGTCTCTCTTTCTATTGAGGCACATTCGCATTTCATCATTTTAAAAGTCGATTCACCCCAATGTATAATAACTTACACACGAAATGGAATGTCGGAATAAAAGTTCCGCTAGCAGCAAACGAACACATCCAGCAAAAAATTACACTCTGACTTTTAATGTTTGATTCCTTAATTCTATGCTATTGTGATCCCATCTATGCAATTTTGTATTTGCATCAAATTTTTCGCTTTAAGTACAGTCTTTAAGCAACTCCAAGTGTTTTGGTACCCCACGAAGTAGAAGGGAAAAAAACATTGAAAACAAATAAAAACAATCAAATTGTTATATGCCCCTGGAAAAATTTAGACCATGGCTGGTCATTTTGGCGCAATGTTCATATGAATGCTCTAAAGTAAAAACAATATTTCATACATATGGACCGCACAAAATAAGAGGCTGAATGTGTTGAAATGAACTGTTTTCAAAAGAAGAACTCGAACATTTTTACCGAAAAAAATGAACTTAAATCTGCCGAACGTAAAAGACAGTCACATCGTTATTGCAATAACGACTAAAAACATTAAAATTGAACTAGCAGTTCAAAGTGTCTTCTTGCATACGATGAATTACCACTTATGTAAAGTATTCGGGAAAAGCGGCCTCTTGTTTTAGACAGTTCATATAGCGTCCAATTTGCGCCGAAGCGTATGCTTATATGGATTGAATTGGTCTGTGCCCTGAATTCGGTGCTAATATGGCTAGTAGCCATTGGGCTACAGACGTGATCTACCTTTTTCCATAGGTGTTGCATAAATACGCGGATCACGTAGCACAACATTAAGGAATCAGTTGGGCTTACTGAATAATGGGTCTTAAAGTGTATGGAGGAGCGTTTAAATTCAGTCAAATGTATCATTATTCAAAACCGACAGAAGGCTTTGAATTGAACTTTGAATATATTAAAAGCACCGATCCCTCACTAGTACGTTAATCTAGTACAATGAAGATGGCATTGGCAGTCATCTATCCGTAAAAGATAATACTATTTACTTTTAAAACGAGACACATCCAACGAACTGTGCACAAATTGCACTATGCAATTGCTCAGAGATATCCATTTCTCCATCTAATTGATAATAAATAATTCTAATGTTTAAGTAGTTTTTGTTTAAATAAATTTTTGCACAATAGCACACTGAATTAAAGCAATCAATGCTTTGATATAGACACTAGACTAATAATCGTTAAAAAAATTTAATGACAACAGTTAAGAAGAATCACTTGCTGGTCGGAATTCTTTTTAGATTTTCATTTCAACAAAATTTCAGTTAATTATTTCAATGGAAATTTTTTGTTTATAATCATTTCAATTTCGTTACAAATCGCCTAATTTATTCAAGCTAATATAAATTCAATTTGGGAAATGATTGTAAAAAAAAATATTTGAAATTAATAAAATATTCTCATCGAGTTATTATTTCGATTTCGCATAATTTCTTTTCATCCATCCTTCCAGTAAAAAAGCTCTTAAAATGACAAGCTAGTCTAATCATCTTTTTCGGAAATATAATTAGTAAGTACTTAGTACATTTATTTCTATGTCACTGTATGGCATACGATGAAAGTCGAGGTTATGTCTAAATGTTGTGACATAAACAATCTGAGTTAAACCCAAGTCGACTGATGCGATAAGTTTCTTGATGAGTTTTGATGATCAAAGTCCAGAAATAATTTTTTATGCGATACACAAACCAGTTTTGCCACATGAACGCATATTTTTGTGTTTATTAAGTGCGTTGTAATATTCGCAATGGGTGACAACATCAGGTAAACAATGAAACCAAAAAAAAAAAGTTATATACACAGAATGTCATCTGAACGAATTATTCAGGCGACAAAACAATGAAAGAAATCAAAAGTGTCAAACCATGATGAAATATCACGTTCATTCTCATTCCAAATTAAGAAATATCTTAAGCAGATGCCATTTATGTCATAATCAAAACTTTTCTACTCTTCAGTACCTATCAATTAGCCACCTTTTGCGGTTGCCGATCGCAAAGTATTGTTTCGATTCTCCCACGAGCAGTTGCTATACGCGATTTTAGACACAGTTATTCTGAATACGAAGGCGCTTCGATACTAATAAAATATTCATCATCATCATCAGCCGAAAGAAGATATTGCGTTACATACGGTACACCACACATACTCTCTCATGGCCATAACAGTTTGGGTATGTGTGCGAAGAGAGCATCGTTAATGAGCACAGCACCTCTGGTGTATCGTAATCGCCGGTAGAACAACGTGTAAAATATAAAACCAGTTGTGAACTGACCGCCGTGGCGAATAAAACAAAATTCTCTTGTCGTATTAGGTAATCGAAAAGACTATTCCAACTCTACGTGAACGAATTGAATGATTGTGAAAGTAAAGTGGCACCAATTTTTTTCCGTATATCAATGAAATTATCGGAGCAAATCGGAAATTTGTTGTTTTTTTTTCTCTCCTAAGAATTGTGTTGCTTGTGTGTTTCTGAATCTCTCTTTCTCCGAATTTTGTATTGAACAAAACAGTTTTGATATCAATATGGAATTTTAATTTTTATCGATCTCTATGCCACCTGTGGTGCTTTGAATCGTTTTTTGTGTGTGGATGATTTGACATGTGAAGAAATTTAACTTACAGAAATGTTTTTTCAATTATTTGAGCGAAGATCATGGAAAAACTTTCTCATTTAACCCTCTAGTGCATTAATTTTTTCTCGGGCTGATAGTACTGGTACTTGGTTGACTTTTGGCCATAGATAATTAAAAAAATATTCATAATCCTGGATTCATCAAGGTATAGTCAGGAAATGTGATTGACATAAAACAGAGAACAATCAAATCCTTTGTTTAAAAGTGTCAAAAATGTGTCTAATTTCGAAGGGAAATAATAAGTTATTTTGTCAAATAACGTCGTTTTTGTGCACATTCTTGTTCGTAACACGACACGCTTGATGTGGACGAATAGCCTTTTGAAGCAATGTGATCCGACATATATGTTATACAGGCGTTCAAATGTTGCCCGTCCAAAGGCAGTTGTATGCACTAGAGGGTTAACCAGCAATAAAAAAAATAATACATATTCTATTTAGTAACATTGCAATAGAAGCGACATAGTTCAGAACAATATGCAAACAATATCAATTGATTGTTAAAACAGTGTATGAGATGCAAACTCATTTGTTTGGCATGATGAATTCAATTGAGTCCAATGATAAGATATTCAAAGTCGATCGGAAGTAAATTTTAATGAACAAAAATTCGAGGTTTCCATTCAAAGCAATAGTATACGCTTGCCTCTTAAAAAGTAAACATTTTTTTTTGTAAAATCCTTCAGTTTGGTATTATACTAAAAATATCTACCGAATAATTTCCATGATTTTGTCAATGGTATTACAAAAAGTTGCCCGTTTCTTGCCCGTTCAAAAAGAAACCAGCAATAGTATAATGCTGTCACTGTGTTTTCAAATTGAAAGTGGGTTGTGCTCAATGCGCGCATGCAATGAATGTTGAACAAAAATATTGTTTTCCAAAGTATAAGCAAAATGTTTGTGTGTCAACACCATTACCGGATTTGTACATAAATATGTCATCCAAACAAAAACAAAAACAAAAGCGAATACATGACACATTTGCAGCATACCACAAGTGAATCACTAGAATCTGATTTTCGGTTCGGTCGGCCGATCGACTAACGTACATCTGCAATGATAACCGATGTAAATTGATTCTGTTGATTTTCGTGCATATTTTCAATACCATTTTGTTAAATTCAATGACTAATAATAATCGATCGATTTTCTCATATTATTTTATTAGATAGTGGAATAGTATCATCACAGTAAAGATGTTTTTATTTGTGTTGTTGAGCACCTTGGGGTTCGTCGCGTTCTATCTTGGACGTTCATCCAAAGAAATGCCAAAAAATTGGCAACAATTCAAATCAGAGATATTGTGGCAGTATTTGGGCGTACGAGGACTCATTGAGGACTACTATCTGCGAAAATATAATCGAGTTGGTAAGTCATAGACTATAATAAATCATTTGATTTTTTTTTTCAGTTTCAACCGGAAAAAACTCATTTTGTTGTCAATCGAAACAATTGATTTCATAAATATGTGTGTTGTTCTGTAGATTTATTCAAGCAGCCAGGTCGTGTAGCTGTAATAACTGGTGGAAATAGAGGCATCGGAGCTGATGTTGTTGAAAAATTGTTACAATGCGAAATAAATGTGATCATGGGTAAGTTCAAATCAAATGATAAATATCTGTCTATCGTTAGAATATCGCAAGAAAATTGTATTAGATTCTCTTCAACTATGGCGGTTGTATGTAAGCAAAGATATATGCGACGCTGTAAAGCAATCATGTTTTACCTTCGTTCACATACAGCGACAAATATGAGCAAGCATCGTCCATGTGATGTACGATCAACAGCTGAATTCTCAGCAACCGAATGTATCTATTCACTTGTTGAAGACTGCGTGAACGATCTTTGTAAACGAGTTTGACATTCGATGAAACATTGAGATATCGTAATATCCAAATTCGAGGTCGCCGAAGGTCATTCAAAACTAAAGACATGAAACCCAGCGGAGATTTTTCTCCTATCAAAACTCTCATTCGTACGTAGTATCCCAATGAAACTCTATTCAAGTGATATAATAAAGGAAAAAAAAACTTACCGAATTTCAATATCACATCAAAATCTGTTCGCATTGAAGTGGCAAAAAAATCAAAACAGGTTCTGTGGTAACCGAATGTGCCATTGTCTACGTTTACTTTCGGCGAATAATACTTGTTCTAAATCTGGTTCTGAGTCCGCTCACAATTCCCGATGAAGTGAAACAAAAATACACAAACCCATTCCCAATTTGGCAAACCAATTGAATGAATCCAAATGTATTTCATTTATAATTTAATCATATAAATGATTTCTAGGTGTCCGTAATCCAAAAGAGGCTCAGAAAAACATCGAATCACGTGTCGATTTTTCGGAATTGGATGGTGTCAAAATTTATTATGAATATTTGGACACCGGCAATCTCAAATCGGTGCGACAATTTGCAAAATCTGTACAACAGAAATTTCCCAAAATTGATTTACTTGTCAATAATGCCGGAATAATGGCCACACCATATTACCTTACCGAAGATGGTTTTGAAAGTCAGTTTGCCGTGAATTACCTCGGTCATTTTCTGTTGACACATCTGCTGATGCCTCAGCTTAGAGCGGCCGGAACACAAGATCTGAACTCCCGAATCGTTAATGTGTCATCATGCGCCAATATTTTGGGAACAATCAACATGGATGATATTAATGGAACGTAAGTGAATATTCTTTTTTGAGATTGTCGATTTGAATGAAAAAAATTCTCATTGAATTGTCTTATGTTCGGCAGTAAAAACTATTATCCACCTGATGCGTACAACCAAAGTAAACTGGCTCAGGTATTATTCACACGTCATCTTCAGCTACTCATCAATCAGGACGAAGATCTGCATGTTCAAGTTCACGCCGTTCACCCTGGTGTGGTTGATACTGATTTGTTTGTTCATTCCAGTACTACCTATGTTCCGTGGTTCAAAAAGCTATTCTTCAAGGTAAGCCACTACATGAACATACTATTTACATGAATACTAACGTTTTTTTTTCTATTTCCAGAACACGGAAGAGGGATCCCGAACGATTGTTTATGCTGCAATTTCACCAAGAATCGAAGGCAAAGGTGGATCGTACTTAAGTAACTGTGTTCGTGTACCAGTAAACTCTTTGTCAAAAGATAAATCGTTGCGAGAAAAATTCTTCAATTTCACATGCAAATTGTTGGACATAGAACTATTTGGAACAAGTTACGATTAAGATACAAGTAACTTTTGCCCGATTATCCGCCCACTTTGATTAGATGGTGTAAGAGATCTTCCTGTTCAATAAATGTACACATATACACACAAAAAACACTGTTGTTCTGATTTGTTTTTCATTTAAACTGCATTTTATATAAAGCTGACGAAATGTATACAAATGCCATTTTTTTTATGCAAGAAATAAAAAAAATCTTTCTTTTTTTGTTGTTGTTGTTGTTGTTGCCCCAATATAAAATGGACCTTGACTTTAAAAAACAATGGTAAAATTTAAATCAGTTGCATCGCTTTCGTGTAAATGTGCGACAACGGATTTATTTTCAATAGAAAAAAAAGACTTGAGGACACTAAATTAATGTGTGTGTGTGTGTGTCTATCGTCATCGATTTGCTTATGCTTGTTGAAATAAATGAAAAAAAAAATAATTAAACGTCGCTACTAATGTAATAGTTATTATAATATATTCAAATTATTTCATCATTTAGAAAACTACAGTTATGAATTTGTTTTGTTTCAGCCGTATTTCATTTTGTTGTTGTTTACTGTGCGCGTACTAAATAAATAACTCAAATGGACCATTCGTATATGTAATTGTTTGTTTGTTTGTTTTTTTCTCGTTTGAAATGTCATACAGCAAATTCAGTTATCTCGCTTAATTTTCGGTTACGATATGAATTTTGCTATATTTTCATGTGAGTAAAAGAAGTAAGTGGATTGATAGATTTCTGTTCGGAAAAAGAACATAATTACATATAAATTAAGTGTTGTTTAATTGATTGCTTGTGTGGTTGCTTGCTTGGTTGGCTTACAAACATTTCGAATCTATTGGAACAACATGAGATGTCATGATGTTTTTAATCGTTTTTTTTTTATTTATCATCGGTGGATTTTGTGAATTTTTGTTTTATGGTATTTATAATGTCAAAACTTTGTAAACTCCTTCCAATTTTGCCAAGAAAAAAGGATAGTGTTGAGGAACTTGCTCGATTTCATAGTCCCGCAAAATATCGGAAAAAGTTTGTTTTGCAGAAAAATTACGTTGTAGATCACAAATCCGGATTACTTCGGTATGTAGAATACCATGAATATATATGGAACATAATATCAATCAGTTGGTGTTTTTTTTTGTGCCATATAAACTGTTGATATCATTTTCAAACAAATATGGAAATGATACCGCTTTTTTGAAAAATTAAAACCATAACCAAAGTCTCTCTCTGAACAATTCCCCTTGTGTCTCTAAATCACACACCATTTAAATAATTTTTTTTCCTCGAAATGCATTTTACGATTTGTTTGGGATAAAGGCTTACAGCAAAAAAAGAGATAATTGTACACAATAGATACAAATGTATAAAAGGAAGAAGATGTAAAAATAAATTAAAATATGTAAAATTATATCATATTTACTTAATCAGAGATACATGCACAATTCAATTTTTACTCAAGCATGCATATATTCGCGACAGTTTTGTATCAGCTAAGCCGGAGGAGGATTTTATTGTAGGTAGGTTAAGCTTTGCGTTTGAAAACTTGCATCTCTAATTGATGTGACGAATAAAGTGGTTTAATACTCTATTCGTGTTTCTTTCTTTCTTTCATTTTTAAACTGATGGACACGAAGCACATACCTCAAACTATGATCTTATTTAAAAATCGTAAGCACAGTTGAACAAAAACAAATACAGGCAAGTTATCAAATTATATGTGTGTATCCTCGAATGATTAGAGCTCATAGTACGCGGCAAAATAGATGTTTGTTTATCTGTTTGTTCTTTGTTGTCGTTCGATTTTTTTTGTTGTGGTTATTTTTTTCTTTTCATAATTTCATTAAGCTGTGTGTTCTCTTTTTTTTCTGTTGATTGATTGATTGATTGTATAATTTTAAGTATAGTATACTTGTGTATACAAGTATAATATGAGTCCTATGTTGTTCTTTATTATGAATGGTATGCTGTCACATATGTTGCTGGGAAGAGGCCCTTTCGATTTCCGATCTCACCATTCCACCAGTGCTCATCAGATCGATCGGTAACTGTGATTACATCACCCCGTCGAAAATCTAGTTCGCCGGATTCTTGTGGCACAAAATCGTATAATGCTTGAACCAGAACCTATATATTATGCACCAAGAAGAATTGCAGAACGTTAGCTATCGTATGAAATACCAATTAAAATTCAAAATATTTGAAGAGCAAAATATATTACTTCTTCTGGAACCATATCTTTGAGTTTAACATCTTGCGAACGCGACACACTGGCAGTGCGATGATATTCAACAAGTTCGTTCAGTGAGCCAAATTTGACCACCCATAAGAAAAATTTGCCCTGCGCATCTCGTAAAACTTTGAAATGTTGCACTCCGTCAGAACATCTAAACAAATATAATTGAGTCGTTTAATCACTTCGTTTAAAGCTAATCTCAGCTCCTCTGTCTATCAATCTGTCTCTTTCTCTTGATTATTTGATCACACTTACTTTACTGATAACGAAAAATCTCCTGGACTGGATTCACTAATTCGTATTAAAAATGCACCCTCGTGTTTATTTGACAATAATTTTTCAGCATCCGCACGTGTGATTCGTCCATAGTACCAACTATAAACACCGAATTGATTGAATTTAATTAGAGATACTCACAGTACTAAACATATACTATAAATATGTATTGAAATAGAAACGAGTGTGGCATCGACATTGCCAAAATGAATAAAATGAATTCGCTTATACATACGTGTGTGTTTTCATTTCAATGTAGTTGCTCGGTATCAAACCTTCTCTGCCATCTAGTTCGGCTCGATACCAATTCATATCATCTTCCATATTTAGAATCTTAAAATGTGAAAAGAGAAAAAAACCGGTGAATAACATTTTAATTTGTGAAGCGATAAATTCAGGCATTAATTTTCCAAAATGGATGGGCATTCGTTGTGCAGTACTTCATAATAATTAAAAGTCTTACTTGCACTTGCCCCACTTGAATGGAATTCAAAACAACAAATTGCAATTTTCAGTGTTTACCTTCAAAATTTGATTTTTCCGAAAACTAAGCTCATCATCAGCCGTAGCATTGAAATCATGCTTTGCTATTGCTTCCATTTCGACAGTTTCTGTTCTTACTTATCAGTAAATTGGTTGCCGTCTGTTGAGAAACCATATAGAAAAAACTGATTACGTCGCAGTTTATTTTTTATAAAATAAATCATAGCTCTTAAAATAGTATTCCATTTTGTGGATTTAATAGCTAATAAACGACCTACCTTTTCTTTTGTATATATTTTCTTTTCTCAGCAAATATATAGTTTTTGTGATCGTTTCCGTCACCGAATGCTCGTTGCTCTCTATTCCCGTGTTTTGGTCGTCGTCCTGAGTTGATTATTTCGATTAGTCCGTCTCAGTCTAAATACAACAAGAAGATTTGACATTAATTAGCGTATGCTCAGTTGCAACACAGCGTCTGGTCTCAGTTCATGCTCTATTATTATTTATGAACAATAACAATAACATGAATGCTAAAACAAAAACACGTCTCGAAAAATAAAAGCACTTCAAATTCCAAAGTATGCGCGTATTGTTTTTGTGTTTGCCTAATTGATCAGTCAGTTAAGTAGTGCACAAAATGTTTTTCTTGTTTGTTCATCAATTTCATGGAATTGTGATATGAAGTTCACTTCGTTCCCTCTCTCTCTCTCTTAACATTTTCTGTCCACTTCACACCAGTCAAATTGAAATGCACCTCCAAGGAGGAACAAAAGACAAAAAAAAACTATTCAAAAACACTTTACGTTTTGTCAATTGTTATTATTTCTGCACCAATTCTTGTGTTCGCGTTAGATAGTATAGTTTTTTGTACCCTCAACATAAATTTGCTATTTTCAATTCATAAAAGCGTATTTTGTTCGGTATTCACTCGGAGATTTTTTCTTTTTTTCTGCCTCTTTCTCGCTTCATTTTTTTAGCTGTTTCGACTGATTCAAATCCAATAAAATTCATTTAGCTTAAATGCATATTTGATTTTTTTTTGGGTTTGTATTGATAATTTAAAAATAGAGAATTTCTAATAAACTTCACAATTTATACGCACCGAATCAAAAGAAATAAATCAATTCGAATGTTCACTTAAAATGTCAATACGCACTCGTGTATTGTTTATTCGTACAAAAAAAATTTTTTGTATGTGATATCTCAGCTAGACCAGAAATTGAAATCACCAACACGCAACGTACGCCATCTTAAAAATATTTCTGCATGTACATATTGTCTGTATATAGCCGTTTGTATGGGTATACAGAGTCGGTGTATTCTAAGGGAACAAATGAATATCTGTCATCGGTTTGTCGTCGTCGTTGTTGTTGTTGTTGCTGGTGCTTATTTTATGAGTGTTGCTGGCTTAGTCATCATAGTCTTGTCCTCTTTCAACTTTGTAAAAAAAGATGTTTATGCATATGTGTGAGTGTGTGCGTGTGTGCATTGCATTGCCTTTCTATCTGTAGACAGTTTCTGGAAAAATGTAGAAAACTTCAGAAAATTGTTCATGAATGAAACGTTTCAATTATCATTTTTGAATGTTCAGCAAAAAGGGAATTCATCGAAAAATTTCATTTGAATTATGTGCTGTTGTAAAAATTGACTAGAAAACATTTCTTCAATTCAAAGCTCATTGGTTTGGACCAAAAAAATGCTGTAGATGGCGCTGAGTGTATACGATATTCAAAACTCTTACAACAAAATAGGCAACATTTTTGAGATAAATAACAAAATGTGAAGTCTTTTTCTTAAATTTCCATTGAATTTATTTATTTTTTTCATTCCAAATTGATTTTATCACAATTCATAAAAGCGTATCGGATTATTTCAAATGCCGAAGCGATGACATATAACAAGTTCACTTGCCATTGCAGTTGACGCACCATTTATCTTTTTTCCGATAGGGACTGAACTGACATAAAACATCGTATGCATGTTGGTTGTATGCGTATTTTTCTCTAAAGTTATTCTAAAAGTCAAAAACTAGACTATCTAATGGTAGTGATGACATGTACGATTGGCGCGACTATCGTTTATTCAATCACGCCACTAAACACACCATAGTCAAAACATTAAAAAGTCTGAATGTGATTACACACATAGTACACGATATTCCGCACTATGAACATCAAATCGGGGAAACAGTCAAAAATTGAATTTATTGAAACAAAGTTCGCTCATACAAGTGCACATAGTTCGCCCAATAATTAAATAAACATTAAAAAATTGCGTGAATTGACGAATGTCAAATTGAAACAGTAGCAGTAGATTCACCTCATTGCGGTCTACTTTTAACGCGCTGATTTAACGTGTATCATCATTTTGGTGCTCACACATCTTGGGCATTTGTGGTTTAAACCGTTCGTTTTGAATAAGTTTAAGTGTTTTTTTTTTCGTTGTCGGTATTGAAATGCTAAGCTTAATTTCAAGATCAGCAATTACGGTGACTTCCCAAATTAGCATCGACGATAAATAAATTGGCAGAGGGGGCCATTTAAATTTAACACATTGGATGAATGAGAACTGACAATCGTGTTACACATCACAATCAAATCCCGAGTGCATTCAATTGGAATAATATTTTTTTAAAAAATCACTCGAAATAATTACTACATCTGTTATCGACAATATATAGCGAATAGCTAATCAAACAAAAGTTATTGTGTATATGAGAAGAGAAGAGAAAAGATAACTCAAAGTGAAACTAATGCAGTGCTTGGATCAGAATCATAACGCGAAAACGGTTTAATTTCGTTTCTTTCTGCCTCTCTCTCCCTCTTTCGCTTGTTTCATTTTCATTTTACTCGATATATTATGTAAATACCAATAACACGTTGTAACAGAATTAAAAAACGAAAAGAAAACCGAGCAGAGTTCAACGATAACTTAAAGTAAAATCTGTTTGAAGTGTCAATCAGCACGCGCGCGCGTAATTGTCGGGCGATTTTTTTTTCTTTTGTTCCCCTTGCTTACTTCTTGTACATAAACAAAAATAAATATAATATACCACAACAAAAAACAAAATTGTAGAACACTCAAAGTAAAATTAGTAAATATGGTGAATTTAAAGAGTATATTTTCATACAAAAATAAACTATTAGTGCCTGCTCAGCTAAAACGGCTGACCGAACACAAATACTCAATGACAAGTTGTAGTCTATTAGATCCCATATTGAATCCATGGTGGTGTTGGCTTGTATCTAAAACACCCATGTGGCTGGCACCGAATTTGATCACATTAGTTGGGTTGATCGTCAATATTATTACGGCATTAATACTAGTTTAGTAAGTAAAAATTGATCGAAATAAAAACAACAACAACAACAACAACTGAATAAAATGATGTTGGCAAAAATGGCACAATGGTCTATTTTGCACACATTCTTGAATGTCAGTGTGATGGAAATCATCATACGTTGCCGCTTCCCGAATGTCATCATGAATGTGAATGCAAATGTTATTCATAAAAATCGCGTAATAAACTCGTGAAAATGCAAAGTGTGCAAACATGTACTATATATATCGAATCACATGGTCATTCGGTACGATCAGTTTACAAACACATTTGATATGATTTTCCACAATTACGAGCTCGTAACAAAAAAAGGGAAAAACAAGTTGAATGTAAATGGCATTCGGGAATTGGACGTTAATCATTAATAGAAGCGTAATTTTGACTGCTTTGTCATCTTGAAATCATGGCAAATGAAAAATCATGTTGGATAGGCATTCTTTTTTTATTATAAATTCAATTGTGTCACATTTCAGAATGTCACACCGAATTAACCTTATCGAGAACTGTAGCAAATTAAAATTATTTATATCGCTATCAAGTGTACTTTAAGAGAATCGATTTTATTTCTTCATCATCACCGTTTGTCATCACATTTTTATTTTCGTATTAATTTGATTATTGTTTTTCTTCCTCTATTACATTTTATAGTTACAGTCCGAATGGTCGGACCGAACCACCTAGATGGGCCTGCGCCCTTTGTGCGTTAGGATTATTCATTTACCAAAGTTTAGATGCGATCGATGGAAAACAAGCAAGACGCACAAATTCATCGAGTCCGTTGGGTGAACTATTCGATCATGGTTGTGATTCGATATCTACCATATTTGTTGCGCTATCAGCATGCTTATCAGCCCAGCTTGGTTTTTATCCAAAATGGATGTTTTTCCAGGTATATTCATATGACTTCTTCTATTCATTTTGGTTATTCATTGTTATTGCTTAATTTTATTGTGCCGCATATATATTAATCTATTCGGATGCTTATTCAACACAGTGTTTCAGTGCAATGACCTTGTTCTACTGTGCGCATTGGCAATCGTATGTGTCAGGTACACTTCGGCTAGGCAAAGTTGATGTTACGGAAGCGCAATGCATGATCATGCTGATTCATATGATATCAGCAGTTTTTGGACCCGAAATTTGGATAGCCAAGGTATATTCAGTGATTTATGTAGATAATTGTTTGAGAATTTCATCAATCATAAACCAAAATTTCATATGAAAAAAAAAAGTTTTAGACAGATAGTGAACGAGATTGAGAGAGTCGAAATCGATCAGCTAAAATTTTATACAAATGCGATTACATCAGCGTGTTTGTTGGTACATTTCATTTTGCTTCTTCTTCTTCTATGGTGTCATTTGAAATCATTGATCCATTTTCTTTCAGTTTCACGATATACAAATTCAAATAAGACATTTCTTAACTTTTCAATAGTAAGCGGAAAAATTCATTTCTTTCATGATGTTGTTATTGATTATTTCTCAAAGATAATTCGCACCACTTTCAGCTGTGAGATAAAGAAACCGAATTCGGTTTAGAATTTAACATAAACACACATTTCGAACGGATACCGTTCAAAAAGGTAGAAGCTGCGACTTTATATGAAAAACAAACATATTTATTTAGATATTTGGTGGTATTGAACTGTGGAATACAATGTCAGTGGCAACAGTGGTTTGCGGTGTTTGGTCGCTGACACGCATTTTAAATGTTGTCCTAGCTGGAGGCGTCGGCAAAAATGGCTCTACAGTTGCTGTAAGTGTATCCCATGAAAAAGAACACAATTATCACATGAAAAGTATGGTTTTTGAAAATAAATGTGCATTATGCATTCACGCGAAACAAGCGCAAATGTGCAATATTTGGTTCATATGGTCGAAATTATCAATAGAAACATTAGGAAAGCAAAAAATTGTTATCAAACTGTGAACGATGCGACGACTACGGCGACAGTATCCAAAATATATGAATGTTTTCATTGAGATTTTTGAGAAAATTGATGAATCACTTCAAACTGTTTTCATCCAATCGGTTCTCACATATTTAAGATTTCATTTTGATAAGGAACAACAACATTTCAAATGCACTTTTTGCATGCCAGCCATTATTGTGTGTTTTTTTTTTCTTCTTCTTCTTTTCGGCATATCATTAATAGGCACACCATTAGTACGCGGTTTAAACGCAAATTCCATGTCAAAAAGAAGGTTTCAACAGCTTTTATTTTTATTATTAAACAAAGTTTTTTCTTTCAAACCGCAAAACTTCTTCGACTAATTAGTTGACCTCTTGGTCTTGGTCTACTATTTTATTCTCTAATTCCTACATTGTTATTGATTTTTTGCTTCCCTTTTGGTATCGATTTGAACAATTTTCAAATTACACAAGAATTCATAAATCACACGTATGATGCACATATTTCTTTTAAACTTAAACACACTCCAATCATATGTATTTTGTTTTTGTTTCCTACGTTTATTTTTATGCATGAACCCCCATGTCATTAGCCAATATAACTAAATAGTCATTTGTCTACAAATTAATAGAATGAAAATGATGTAAAACTAAAAAAAATTATAACTAAATTGAAATAATTTTGAATGTGTCTACTGGATACTGATGAGTTGAAATCAGAGATGTGTTATAGTTTTCGAACAATTCTTTGATCATTCCAAACTATTTCATTCAACCCACCCCCAGCCCCCCCCCCCCCCCAAATAAATAAATTGTGTTGCTTTAACTATTCATATATCAGTTTGTAGTGTTGAAGTGTTGACTATATATAATTATATACACCATCTAAGTATGTATAGTAGAAAGTTTCTCGTGAATTTGTATTGTTCTGTAAGTGTTTTTTTTCTCTTTTCTATTCTATACATGATGTAATTAACTCAAAATGCACTTAAATTACAATTATAACTAGTTATTTTTAAAACGACTCTTAGCTTGTTAGGAACGTCAAATCTCGTATTGACGATGATTTGGAAAGAAGCTGCAGAGCAAGAAAAAATTCGGCATAATGACTGAAAACGAAAAACTACCCAAATGAATGTGCGTAAATGTTTATAGACATAAACAATTCGTCTATATCACATAATATCTATAGCAGTATGTCACTTTTTTGTCGAGAAAAACAAAACTGAAATTATTACTAACCGAATGTCTGTACGGCGGACAGGAGTATTCGAATAATGAAGGAGGACACCCAATTATTTTTTTTCTGGTTGAAAATTATTTCCTGTCGTTTTTTCGCTCTCTCTCTCACTCTCTTCGTCGAGCATCATATGTATTTAGTAACATTGAGCACATTCGTCAAAATTAAACTAAATTTGATAACTTTTCGTAATTAACAGATACCACTCGTGGAAAGTTGGAATATGATTTTATGTGTGTCGTTCCTTATTGGATTTTCGAAAAGTCTCGTCTCATTCAGTCACATTTTTATTACTGGTGGCAGTGGCAAAAACGGCTCAACAGTTGCTGTAAGCCAACAATGATACATTTTTTCTTCTGCATTGTGTTTTGATTTTCGTTTGTACACCCAAATTTTTATCATAATTTTTTTTTTCGGCTTGAATCTTCTCCCGTAGTTTTTATACATAGATGCTCTTCATAAGTCTTCATTTTTTTTTGTCTTAGTGAATTATGGTCATTCAATTTGAACATTACCTTCCGCTTAGTGATAACAACCATAGCTCATCTACTAGATACTAGTCAAAATTGAAAATTTCCTCTAAAACTCATGGTTTTTTAATACTTACTTATGGTTTGTTCGAAAGATCAAATTCCCAAATCGAATTCTTCCCTTTTCAAAATTAACATAACGGTTCTCTTTCCATCCCCAATGCAATACTGATGTAATATTTTGTATGGTGAATGTGCATTTTTGTCCGATAGAACAAATAATAAAGTCCTTAACACTTGATTGGTTGATGTCTAAAATATGTATATATTACCTGTCTACACTCATTAGATAGTTCTCAAACCGATAATATTGTGGTATAACCAATATCACCTAACACAAATAACATTTTCTAGAAATCATGATACCAAAGAAATATTTCTCCTATCAAGGTCATTCCTGTTCTTTCTGGTAATTGTTTTCCGAAGCAAAATCAAGCATAGCGCCCCAATAGCAATTCCCATAGTGATTGTCAGGCGGCAAGATTTAAAATTGAAAAAGTGGATAAATCTTTTCCATAGTTAACAAATATGCAATCTCAGTCTTAATGGTTTAGTCAGCTATTTTTCCCTTTTACCTGAGGCTTTTCACAATGATGGTGTGTATCTAGAAACGACAAATTTTGAAAGGAAAATTGGAGAAAATGGTTTTTTTTTAATTGTTAAAAAAACGTCGACCGATTTCGATGAAAACGAGAACATACAATAACTGTGAAAATCGAAGAATTTTTGGCATTAAAACTGATTCGAACTGGGCTGAAATTAGAAAAAAAATTGGTCTGTTCAGTTTTATTACCAAAGTTTGTTGTATTTTCTCAATTCTTCTCTAACTGATAATAATCAGTCTAAGTTTTTCCGTTTTGTTTTCATCAGAAAATTGAGAAAATCTTATGTTTTTTTGGTTTGGGTCGATAAAAAATATAAGAAAATGCTATTTAAAATTGTCTCCATCTGCAGTAGACCATTAATAGAACATGTGTAAATTTGTACATAGAAAAAATAATGCTCTTTATTTCAATTACATGCATGAAATTGATTTTATTTCTTAACCGATCAAATACCAAGTGTTCGGAAAATTGAACATTTCGTATGGAAATTCGGACGCTTGGCAAGTAAAGGGTCAATATAAAAATAAATACGATTATTTAGTTTCTGTACTTATAGCATAACATATTGTTTCTTTTTTTTCTTCAAAAATTACCCAATTTTGCAAAATATTTATTAATAATTTTTGTGCTAATGCTTGTATATAAAATACACTAATGAGACCCTAATTGTTGATATTGTGTCCTTTGAATTTTTCGTCTGTAATTTTTTTTTCAAACCAAACACTAATCTTTCCTGTTTTTTTTAAAATCCTTTTACGATTTGAAAATGCAGGGAACCAGTGTGATTTCACCAGTGATACCACTGTTGACAGTTGTTTTAAGTGCTTTCATCATTTCGCAAAAGTCAGTTGACAGAGTTTTTGAAACTTATCCATCGTTGTACATAATAACTTTCGGAATGGTAGCTGCCAAAGTGACAAATAAGCTTGTGGTGAGTTTAGAACTTCTATCGATCTTATTATGCTCTAGATGGAAATTAAACCGACTGTTTTTTCCTTCTTAGATCGCGCACATGACCAAAAGTGAGATGGGCTACATGGACTATGGCCACATCGGCCCATTATTATTATTCTTGAATCAATACTTCAACAATTTCTTGCCAGAAATTTGGGTGCTGTACCTTGCATTGTTTTGGTGTACATATGATCTGTTAGTTTACTGTTCTCAAGTAAGTTTTAGCAGTGCATTGTCATTAAAAATGGAATATTTCGAAATCAAAACGTCATCTTTTTGGTGTTATTTCAACAGGTGTGTTTAGAAATTTGTAATCATTTGGATATTGAATTGTTCCGAATCCCTTACCCACCGAAACCAGCACAGGCGGTTACAATAGCATCACAAAAATCGTCGAGTAGCAACAGTAATACAAGCGGATCACGTCTAAGTCATGATCAAAATGGTGCAAAAGGTGGCAATCGACTAGATGATGACCAAGTGCAACAGCCAAAACGTCAAACTCGATCTAGCAAACGACATGTTGTTTCACACTGAAAAGACAAAGCCCACACTGCTCTAAGCAAACACACACATATTTTTATAGCAAATTGAAGAAAAGTTAGGTGTTTCTTGACTTTATATGTTGACAATGATTTCTTTTATTTGATTTATACCATTGAAAAAAAAAACACAGAATTTTACACCAAAAATTCAAACTCTCAGCGACTGAAATAACTTCGATGGAATGGAGATATACATATATATATATATATATATATATATATATAAATACACAAACACATTGTATTGCTTAAACTGAATCTATTTTTTTGGGCCTAGTTTCTAGTATTACATCAATGAAATCACGTCATATAAAAAATTATGTTCAAATTGAAGTAAATCAACGTTCTAAACACTCATCCTAAGAACTAATGGATTGATATAATTACGAACTACAGAAACCTGTAATTTTAAACTACCAAAATGTGCATTGTACATAACATCGAATGTAAAACTTATTTATTGAAGAAGAAGAAAAAAACAACTAACTCATATAATCTGAGGATGTTTGTGCAAATCAAATTTAAGCAGTAGATTGTTCTTCGCTCAAACACAAATAAAGCAGGAAAACAGACACACACTTAACACAAAAAGTCCAATCATTGAAAATCACTGGAAATTGTGGACGATATTAAAGTTTATTATCTAGGTCTATTAAATGGACACATGTTCAATGTCAATGTTTATTGAAAACAATTTAAGTTTGATAAGTAGCTTATCGTTTGAATTCAGCGTTTATTTCATTACAAAATGTCTGGATTATTGAATTTGATTCAAAAGTCATAAGCCGCAAAATTTTAGTTACATTCATGAAATAAAATACTGAGATGCAGGTGACTGGAAATCAAATTTTTCAAAAACAATGAATTTTTATTCGGTTTGCATAATTTTTTTTAGAAGGAAAAGCAAAAACCATTCAATAGTTTTATCTTATTTAGAAGGAGTACAAAAAAATGGAGAACCGAGCATAAAAAACATTCAAATCATATTTGGATGGAACTTCCAATTAGTTTTTAGCATTGAAAGTACGAGTACCTTGTTGAGTCGTTTTCGCCTGAATGTAGGCCTGGAGGTTGGCAGAAATGGTTTGAAAAATTGCTAAAGCTCAATTTGACAAAATCGCTCTGAAGATGTCGCCACAAGACTAAATCCCACACATTGTGTAGATAGATTTGTTCATAATAGATTTAGAAATTATCAAATAATTTAACAATGTTCAAACAAGTTTGACCAAAATTTACCCAATCAAATAATTTAATTTTGGGTAAATTTTAGTCAAACTTGTTTGAACATTGGCAGCGCTCTGGTACTCTGTAACTTCGCTAAATAATTTCCATTTGCTTATCATTCAAGTTAAATGATTTTACCCATTAACTACCAATGGTCAATTTTTCGACCAATGATTTTTCTCAGGCTCTATCTCCCTCGCCCCAGATTAAGAATTCGGTTAGTTCTTTTTTTCTAAAATAAAAGAACATTTAAGTTGACACAACCAAATTGTTTGCTATCAAACTTTGTCTCGCTCACACCAACTGTCACACTGACACGTTCGCGTACGAATTTCTGTTAGCGTAAAAGAGATGTTGTTCGCAGTAAACTCAGTTTAAATATTCATTGAAACGTATATATTACAAAATCAATGGAAAGATTTCAAATTGGTCGAATCGAGCAGTGAATGAAAACAGAAATTTTGGAAAATATTCCCTAACAAATTCCCACAAATTTGTACTGAATTTTAAATTTTTCGATCGCTGTTTAAGAAAAATGGAACGCATATCTCACGATCTGTGAAGTCTACTGTTATTTTCAGATCAAAGTTGATAATATTTGAAAGTATCACGCAATTCGAAAACAAAATAAGAATTCTGGTAGTGAATGGGTTAAAGACTTTTTCACGCCGAATAATTTCTGCTTAATATATTGCAAACCGCTATTGGTACCGTTTGCGTTGCTTCCTCATTTGCCCAAATGTATTGATTGGTACAACCAAAGAGTCAATCTAAAATGCTGAGAAAAGTGAATGCGACCACAATATATTTTATTCATATCGATTATGATCCTACTTTTGTGTATCTATCTATCTTTATAATATTGAATGTTCAGCTGACTTTTTATCTATCTGTTTGTTGAAAGTCTTTGGTCAATTTTCCAATGCATGCCTTCGTTGATATGGGTACGATCACAATTCTCGCATCACGACGTGATGTTTCCAAGGAGAAGTTATTTTCCTTCGAAAATAGTTTTTGTTAATTTCTGTAATTCATTTTCAAAAGATTGTAAAACAAACAATTTCCCTAGATTGTCTGTTACTGCATATTACTATATAACCATGAATTATCTAATTTGTTTATATTCCCTGCTCAGCAATACCTGCTATTGTTGAAATGGTGTAGATTGAGGAAAAAACACAATTAAAATCTATGAGAAATCACAACTACTGAATGTGTACCACTGTACAATGTACATAATTTGCAGCATTTCCAATTAGGTTGTATACAATAGAGTACCATCACTTCGATTTTTCTTAGTAATGCAAAGCAATTTCAGTGCAAAAATCAGCCCAGCAACACATTATCGAAATGAGTTGCAGCCAAAACAATATAGTCGGAGGCATGTGATGGAACTATGATTTGATGCACAATTAATTTATTAGTTGCTGAAACAAAGAGTGGATTAATTAATTCAACTATTTGGTTTTCGTCATATTACTGAGGATGTTGTGTATTGTCTATTTTTTTTAGGCTCACCACACTATCCACACCAGGTAGGGAAGAATGTATTCATTTCCATAGAACCAAACTTTTGCATCAGATAGTCTAGGGCTTTTTACTCCACAGAATAAAATCACTTTGTTTGTTTGTTTTTTTCATTCTGTGGTAGTAGAGAAGAAATTAAAGAGAAAAAACATGAACAATTTCTATTTGAGAATACTTTGGCATTCAAAAGATACCATGTGCAGTATATATATATATTTTTTTTTTCTCTCTGATGAGCACATTTGAGTGAAGATACGAACATGGAAACATCTATTTTCTGCAAGACCTTGTAGCACCGAATAAAAGATGCAGACAATGCACGTTCAAATGAATGGCAAAAAAATTGGAATAAGCTTTAACAAAATAGGTAAGTTATAAAAGGATAAAAAAAACCACTCCCGGATAATCTCTTAAAAGATACTACATCATCCGACCTATCTGTATCTCTGTCACATCCTCTTGTTCGCCTCTTCAGATTCAATTGCGATTGTAACAGTCATTGCGTTGAGTATATTTTTATCCGCACACATATTGTAGTACATAGAGGCACCGATGTAACTAATATTTACTAGCTATCAAATGTACTGTGCATTATTCACCCAGTTTCGTTCATTTAGTTTTTGTTTCGTTCTTTTTCTTGTTTCACCGCGCAGACTACTAAGTCTAAAAATTGAATGCATTCACAGTGTTGTTGTTTGGTATTGATAATTACAGTATCTATAAAAATGTGAAAAGAAACCAAAATAAGCATTGCCATTGTTGTGTGTTGTGGAAAATTAAAAAGTATCGTCTTTTCATAGAGATTTGATGCCGAAATTGGCATTCATACCACCAGCTGTGTGTACATTTTTTTTTTGAATCAAATTCTTCTACACAACGAAAATGATTTACAATGTTGAAGTGAGTCACGAGCTCTTCAATTCGAGCTCCTTATATACCTAATTGAGAGAAATGAAAGAATACCCAACACACACGCATACACAATCATTGTTATTGTGATGGTCAACCAATTAGACGTAGCTTCTAATTTTATGTCAAACACTAATGTTCAGGGCATTCAGGGCATTCGATGTGTGACACGATGATCGTATAAACAAGTGTACTAATGTCCAGTAAATCCGGAAGTACTCGACAGAAGAAGGAAAAAAACGGTTTGTCACAAAGAGAAAGAAGAAAATTTGTGAAAGTAAACAACAAAATTTGTCTAGGGATTGTGCTAAGTAGAGCGCAGGCTTGAGTATATTTTATGATTTTTGATATGTATTTCTGTGTAGTGCTGAGATATTACATATGATTGTCTGTGGAATATTTCGTTATCGGATTCAAGAAGTGTTTGCGAGAAGTCGCAATATTGAATGAATCATCGACATTACCGACATCATGAATACTGTAAAATTCTGTCGAAGCATTCGAGCCAACTTACCGGTTCCATTCGACCAGTCGAGGCATTACATCAGTAAATAAATAACATTCATATTGATTGACTCAACCGAATATGATTGGATGTACAGCGTTGCTAAATATTACCCATATGATCGTAAATGCATAGCTCTGCGTGAAATTACAACAATAAAGAGATGAAACATGAGAATATGGATTTTACATGTTTTTTTTTAAATTGCCTTCGAACACTCACTACTTTACATGGCTTTTGAGTTTTTCTTCCACATACGCGGTACATGTCGGTCTGTTGGAATACATCGGTGATACCCATCACACACACAATCCACAACGCACACATTCAACAGTAACGAGACAAGCAATGAGCCAAAGCCAAAGGAAAAAAAATTACTGGTGAATCAAAATTGATTTGTAAATACATATTTTCATAGATAGTATTATTATAAATTCCCCCATTTGGATGATGCACTTATGTCCTTAACATAATGTTTAACCATTGCGGTGAGCGCGAACAAAAAATAAACCCGATCATGAAACCCATGCAAGGAAAATAGATAGATGAAAATTATTAATGCTTTTATGTACATTTCAAACCCTTTTTTTCTCAAATATACATAGATCCGTTTTCGAGGCATCCATGTTAACTACACCAAAAATGTGTTGATTCTTTGGTTTGGAAAAACACGTTTTGCGATTTGTTTGTTTCTGTAAATGCCATTGATGTTTACAATCTAGTCTGTTCCACTTTTTTTTTCGACTGCAAACAATTTTTTTTTCTTGTAGTAATAATTATATGATTAATTGATGAATAAGTAATAATAATAATATAATCATCATATGACTCAACTTGAATAATTCAAGCAAGTTTTTTTTAGTTTCGGAATATATAATTATTATTTCAGTTTGGCAACTAATGTTATTAATGCAAATTTTCACTATTTTTCTTATTGATTTTTTATACGATTTTGTAATTAAATTCTTGTTTATTCGATATGAATGGATCATTTCTTCTTTCTTTAGGAGCTTGACTGGGTTTTTGTCTAGTGAAAATATTCCTGTTGAAAATATTTTTTGCTTTCAAATTGTTTTGATCGTATAAGAATTATTTGAACATATACCGAGTGACTCTGAATATTATAAAGAAAAAACACTCACTGAATTTGAATGGAATGAAAAATATGCAAGATTTAATTTATTCAAATTGTAAGACATAAATCTCTTTCTTTTGGTAAAAAATTGAAGGAAATCAATGAATAAAGAAAAGAGAATCACAGTAAAATATTTGAAGGGAAAAAACTGAAACTGAAAGAAGAGTGTGCCAATTTTAAAACAAGCCGATTCATAAATGAAAATTTCAAACTATAACTTGGAAAACTTCCTGTGGAAAAAGAATAAAAATTTCATTGCCGATCATTATGGTAAAACAAACAAAATATAACTCCTATAAATATAGCGAATAATTTGGCCAACAGCAGTGGTGCTGCGAAACACTGTTCCCAGATACTTGGTCTTGTGAATGTACGTTTAAATGGTCCAGTCAAAGTTATGATTATACGAAAGAAAATAAAAAAAACACACTCGTATTTGTTTTTGCCTTCGATATTTTCCATGAGTGCGAGCATTTCAAACGAAAAGAAGGGATCTTGAGCGTAAATGGCGAAAAAATTGTTTTGACTTTGTTATGTTCGTCTCAGACACAGTTTCTATTATGCACTTCTACCGAACCATTTTGTTGTTTCATTTTAGAAATGATAAAATTTCGAGTCGGATCTGCACATAAAACAAATAGATACAAACATTATGTACACGAAACCATATTTGCGTGTTCATATCAGGAAAAATGTTGTGGAAAAAAAAAGCAACATCAACAACAACAGCACAAACTGTGCTTTCCACATACACAGTTCATTCGGGTAGCTGTTTATCCTTTTTCATCAGTAATGAGTCGTTTGCATGCGTGTAGTAGCGTAGGGTTTTTTCTTCGTGCGTTTCAACGATTGCTATATTTGGTTGGATTGTGTTTGTGCGTGTGCTCCGATATGTTCAGAAATTTACAGTTCACACATAGCACAAATAGCATAAATTTTATGTATATCATCAGTCCGTTAAACTCACGGTTTGTACAAAAATACCGTTTCACATTTATATAAGGCAATCTCAGACTCACTCTCTCTCACTCTCAATGTTAAAACTCGCAATTGCAAGCACACACAATATTTGTGTATAAATTAATGACAAAACATGATCAACCTATCAAATGACGGCTCTGGCGACGCCTTCTTCAAACGCATATGCTGATGTACGGGGCTCAAGCATACCAAAAAATAAGAACATACATTATTTATTTTACGCTCACTGACGCACCCATACACACATACACACATACACACGCAGATCGGTTCGCTAGGACCCGCCCATTTCATTGTGTCAATACTGTACGCAAATAAAATCGGTGTGTGTGTGCTTTTTTTTTTGTTGCCCGACTGTGTTTCGCTCCCTGAAGAACTCACCGTCGTCAATGTCGTCAATTGTGAATCGGACATCAGCTCTTGCTGACGCCAATATTTTTATCTTTGGCGAAATAATGCGACGAATGAGCTGCGCGTGTAAAACGTAAACAAACTTTGTAACACATATTGAAAATGAAACTTTTTAACAGAAATTTTGTTTACTAGTTTACTAGAAAACAATTCCGTAAAATCTACGTTGGACATTGCAAAATGCACATTGTACCACCAAATAATCAATCGGGGTATTAGTTTATTTTGTCGTATGTCCTTCTAATTTGTGACATTCAATTATATTTTGTAGTCAAAAATGTTTTAAGTTCGATAAGAATCTCAATACCCTGCAATTGAGGTTGTAGTTCTCTTTTCTCTTAAGTATTCACATTTGTGATTGGAGAATTTCATTGCCATTCATTTTTTTTTGACAATTTTTGCGCTTGAAACCGACAACTTGATCATTACTAGACGATTTATGTATGAAAATTAAATTTTTGGTCATTTTTTTTCCGGCCAAATTTGTATATTAAATATTCAAACTCATCGATACAAATGAATCCAAATTACAAATCGGAAGTTGTGAGAAATCAACCCATTCTTTTTGTCTAAAATTTATATTTGGATGGAAGCACATAAAAACACAAATCTCAATTGAGCATTATAGTTGGAATACAGATTGAGATACATGTTATCTAATTGTCAACAGCATCAAAATAAATAAATGAACATAAATAAAACGTTCAAACTAAATTGCAATTGAAATTTATTTATTATTAATTCAAGCCCAACGAAATGAAAACTTGACAAAAATGTTAAACCATTTTTCAGCTCATTGGTAGCTCAAATAATATTTGTTAAATCTTTTATGAGAAGAATGTTACATCATTTTATGTTTCATAAAGAGAGGATGCAGATACGAAGAACTTGCTTTCGCAAAAAAAAAATGTGTCGAAGAACGCCATATGTATGATATCAGACGTTATATTTTGAGAAAAAAAGTGAATTCATGGCGGAATTATCGGTTCGGGTTTAACATTTATAATTTATTTGTTTTTTCTTTTAAAACAACGAATGTTTTTAACGAACCAAAAACTAGTCCTCAAGTATTTCTACTTCAATTATTCGCAGTTCAAATGTTTTATGCGTACATAATTGATAAGAACTAATCCTTATTTGATCGTATTGATTTGTGGACATGCACCGGTTGTTGTGAAGAAGGAAAACGATGAAAACATCTAGCGATGATGTCAAAACGAAAAAAAAAATGTCAACAAGCGCTGAAATCGAAAACACACCACCATTTGTTTACGTACGTGAAATCCAGAATTCGTAACGGTATAAAAATGTGAGCGAATTGATTACTTTGTTTCCAAATATCGGATACGATGCGTAATGAACACACCGTATACGGTAATAAGGCGCACAGACACAAATAAACAGTAGCAGGCACATTTAAATGGTATTCGTCCTGGATCGATTGTGTCAGCGCACTTGGTTTGTTTGTGCGTGTGACTCTAGATGTGGATGTACCCAGAAAAAGGTTGTTTGCCAGGCCGTTTATGGCCCATGCACACATTTCGCAACGCGTGCACATGTAGTAATCTTTTACACAGCTATATACACAGTCGTATAGCATTGAAGAATATAAACGAAAAGAACGGAGAAAATCATAGCTGCCGTAACACACAGCACCGAAACCGAAACACACAGCAGTAAGCACTATTTTGTTACCACCTTATTCGCTATCGCGTTAAACGTATATGTGCAGTGAAGATTGTAAGTTGTGTTTTTCTGTGTGTTTTTTTCTTGCGTTTTGTTGGTTTATTTTTTTCCCAATCGCGTGTCATATTTTGCAAACTGATCGCTACATATTATCATTCACCGTCAATAACACATCGATATCTGTACACGAAAAAAAAGAGGAGGAATACACGGCTTCATTAGTGTGCCAAAAATTGTATTTTGTATTTAAAAAAAAATACACAGTGAAAATCAGCCAAGTGGTAGTCAACTAGTTTACACTTTGTCATCTTCAAAATTGGTTTTCCATTTAGAGTGAAGTTTTGGCCAAATATGTGCTGGTAATTTATACCTCTTTTGACGTCATTAGTGATTGTTATGTTTAGAATTAGTTAAAAATCTGAGTTATGCGAATGAGACGGTTTTCTTTTACGTTTTCATTTCAATTGCAATTTAGTTTGAACGTTTCATTTATGTTTATTTATTTATTTTGATGCTGTTGACAATTAGATAACATGTAATGCTCAATTGAGATTTGTGTTTTTATATGCTTCCATTCAAATTGTATTCAAACATTCAAGAAAGTCCATGTTTCGCAACGCGTCTCATTTTGAGCGTATAATTTGTTGGGAAAGCTTTTCCAATCACACACACATACACACGCGGTGTAACGAAAATATAGTGTACGTCATTTTTAAAGTGTGTTTAAAAATAACCTAGCATTTGCTTATATTTTTTTTGTTTTCCTAATCAACCCTGTCATGCATGTGCAGAAGTATACTATTTTTATGTGAGAAAACAAAAAAGAAAATTACGACAAAACCGATGAATAGTGCCGAATATATTTCAACCGGGGAGATAATGTGTGTGTGTGTGTGTGTGTGTGTGAACGGAACAGAGAGGGAGAGAAACATAGAGAGTAGATGATACAATAGATATCCCTGAAGCTCTAGCTGAATGTGAAATGGAAAAACCGTGCATGTTTTCAAGGCGGAGCAAAAGAAGCGGCTAAATAAAATGGGCTAACACACGACATCCAACACGAATATTTCTCTAACGCAGCAAAAATATCTTTGAATTGGTTAAACCGAATACAATTTGAATGGTTGGATATGAACAAAGTAAAAAGATAGAAGGAAATAAAAGAGCGAAACAGAGATAGATGGGAAAAACCAGATCGACTAGATGATGGCTAGCTCTATATACTGCGTGTGTTTTCATGTGTTTCGATTTTGACTTTAGTGATGCGAGTAATTCTTGCGTGTGCATTGTATATTGCAAAACCCATGCAAAGCATTATTTTTATTTGCTTTCCATTTATTTGTTCAACGTACGGATTTTCATCATTTTTTCTTCGGTTCAACGGAAAAAAATTTCTAAATATTTTATTTCGATTTTTTTTTTATTGGAAATAGATATTTTTCAATAATGAGTTCGGCTTCTGTTGTTTTTTGGTTTCTCGTGTAATTTCAAGTTTTGACCAAAAAAAATAGTGTTTCATTCAGTTAAATAAAAAAAATAGTGTTTGGTAAAATATGCATATATTTTCAGCGTTTACGGCCAATGGATTAACAACACCCATACAAATCAGTCAAAGTCAACGTTGAATACAGCGAATAAGTTTTGTGAATGCAATTTTTTTTATATTGATCTTTAGATCACACTGTTTTGGCTCTACACAAATGTTGCGGATGCAAACGGATAACGCCAATTAGTGCAAAGCGATAACATCAAGATCATTGTGTAAAAAAAAAGAATTAAATTAACATAAGAAAAAATGAAATGATGTTACAAAAAGTGGTTGTGCAATATTTCGAAAACAAACGACACAAAGAATAAAACAGAAATTGATACTGAACTGAAGACTTTCGTTACTGAAGCGGCGGTCACACACACACACACGATCGACGTTCTCAGAAAAATTCATCCAGGTTTGTACAACACAAAGTTAATTTAATGTTTGTGTTCTATTGTTTGAAAATCAACACCGAGCACCCGTGGACTAATATTTTCGGAATTTTTTTTTAACAATGCATCTTATATAAATAAATTAAAATGTTTTTAGAATTGAAAAAGTGCAAACTAAAAGAAAAATAACGGACCGAGCCCAACGAACAAATAAAACTGCCGACTTTCTTGCACAGAAAAATAACTGTAAAAAATTCAATTGATTTCAATTTTAAATGGTTATCAAAGCAAGTTTAATATAAATACCCAATGAACACATGTAATGCTAAATGTTTGAATTTTGTGCATATTTTAATGTAATGCTAAATGTAGCACTAAAAGTGCAAAAATTGTGTGATTTTTAGATAAAATTTTGTTTCTGGGCACAATATGTGTAGAAATTGTGCACGATTTGGGAAAAAATTTACTATGCACAATAATTGCACGTGTTTGGCTCATTGGGTTAATAATTATGCTTTCTTGACAAAATTGAGCAACAAATATTGGATGAATCACGATAATAGATATGCACCCACTATACAGAAACACTAAACACCAAAAAAATAAATGCAGTTTTACTTCTAAAAAATATCGCGATATTATAAGAATCGATTGTATGGCAAAAACAACGTCAACATAACTGGGATGGACAAAAATGAAAATTGAACAACTTCTACAGGGACACCAAACTGAAATAGTTTCATCTCATACGACGGCGTAAAATAATTGTATTTTTTGCACTCCATGCGTGTCGTCATGCTGCATTGGCGGTTGTGTATGTGTACGTTTAGTCGTGTGCATTATTCATTTCACCGATATTATGTAATTAAGTAAATCGCCATTTAATCCTTGCATACGCCAGCAGCAAACGAGATACTTGTATTCCAGCTGACACTGATTCCGAAATATCTCAATTTCGTCTCATTTTTTTTTTGGTTTTATTGAATTAGATAAGGATCATCAAAGATGGATTCGCTGATGGTTGCAACTATCAAAAAGCCCTTTCGTATAATTTATGATCAAGTAGAATTGTATTTGCGTTCACTTGCGAATGTGAACAGAAAACCAGCAAAATCAAGACTATATTTTAACAAACACGTCTCACCTCGAAAGAATCAACAAAATGTTGATGTAAAAAACCAACAAAGACTTTTTCAGCAGAAAAGTTCAGTGCTTTTTATCGAAGTTTGGGAATGAACCAACGATAAAATATACATATCAAACCTGTCACGAAAAGTCGAAGTGAACGAATATGATGCAAAGTGTTTTTTTTTCTTTTCGGAAGATTGGAATGTGCTTCACAGCATGCCACAGTTTAATAAGAAATAAAGTTAAAGTTCACCTATACGATGAAAATATAGCCGAGAAAAATAAGGATCATGCGAACGACCAAAAAAAAAAAAATAATGCCACTGAAGGATATTGACTAAACGCGATATTACGGGGTCCCTTGCATTTTTGTTGCTTCATTTGAACTTGACAATTGGTGCGGTTTTTCGTTGACCACTTATCAATAATAACATAGTAAATTCAATCTTTCATTCTGTTTGGCATCGATTTGTTTCTTAAACTGCTACGGTAGTTTAAAATAGCCTCTGGCATACCTTTTTACTTGAAATATTTTCGATTGAAAAATGAAGACTTCGTTAAGACTACGTCGAGCTACTGCACCGTCTGAAACATAGTTTATTTTGCAATGTCATTCGTGGCAACTGTTCTTGGATTCTTGGAACAAAGATCACATATCCTTGTTTATGGAATTAAACCCACATTCACACATTTCTCAAACTTGGAAACTGACATGGCCTGACATTTGATTGTATTCAACAATTCTGAAGATTTGAATATGCGAAGAGTGGCAGCAATTTTAATTCAATGAATAATAAGAATCACAATTACGTTTTTTTAATTTAATTAATATATTCGCTGGTTGTATCATTAAAGAATCAACCAGCTTTGTATGAAATCATTTTTTGTGATCTGCCTAGTGAATCGATCAATCTTTCCGTCAGGACGGAATATCCCTTTGTTTATATAAAACATGTCGAATTTAAAATGAAGTTTTCACATCGAATTGTCAAGTGTCAACCTTTTTGGACAACAAAATACTGATAAAAAACAAAACTGCTGAAGTGTAACACCAATCTTCATTTTCTGTGGTTAATTCGTTTCAGTTTCGTTTTTTGTTTCACGTTCGATTCGTGGGCACTTCGACGCTGCTTTACTAAAATACGTAATAATTATATATTTTGAAATGATGCGGACATTTAACGTGATATTTATCTCATGATCGAAGAGAATATCGGATGATATGTTATTCTCTGTGCCTCGGTTTTCAAGTCGAACAAAAGCAAACAGAAAATGTGTTGGATATTCTTCTTTTTTTTCCAGAGTTTTGACAAACATCAAAATAACAATTTTTGGTTTGAACCCATCATCATCGTCTTTGTTTTGCGATCTGCTTCGTTTTCTTTCTTAAATCCTTATATTCCTAAGCCATTTTTGTTTTGAGTGCATAGAAATGAAGTGATTGTGCCTCAAGAGTGCGCACGCGTGTTTGTATATTTGTATGGAATTGCACAAAAGTAGCTTCATTTCAATACACACACACACACACACACACACACACAGGAAAATGAAAAAGATACCTCTTTCTTTTGTTGAAATATATTTCAGTTATTATCTATGGTTCTTGTGGGCTCGTTTTTTGTTCGGTTGTTTTTGTTTCTTTCATTTTGTCAACCTCAATCTATATTGTTTGCTGAAGTATTGACGGGAATTTAAAATTAAAACCAACATTGAAATTTATTTTTAATGAATTTACATTGGGAAAGACGAAATGAGCGATTAAAAATCAAATACCGCCCTTGAGAACTAGTTCATCGATATATGTTACGAATATGTTGAGATGGTTAATCTTGGTATCATCTCACAATAAGATTTTAAAACTTATTTAGATACTGATACGGGTCATTGAAGTATGTAGGTTTTCTTGCGTTTTCAAGCTACCTGATGGATTACAGTGGGACATAGTCATTTCATATTTTTCTCATTCATTTCAGTTTTTCTATAGTGGCATTGTTTTTAGCTCTTATACTTGAGTAACAGTGCGTAGGGTAGTTTTTTTTTGTCTTAAGACGTATTGAATTAACATCACTTGATACAATTTTGGCTGTAAAACTCTCAGTATATTTAATAGAAAATTGATGAGAATTCATATTGTTAGTCGAGTATGCGCACAGAATTAGTTCACTTTCATTGTTGTCTCAAGCTGTAGCTACTGGCTATTGCCAGTGCAAATTGTATAGATTTATTCTTAAGTCTAATCGAAAAGAGGTTTTCAACAGTCAGTTCAACACATTTTAGGTGTTGAACCATGTCACAGTTTGAATCACATCAAGCTGTAGTCTACCGCAGAATTTCATTTAATATCTCGGATAATTCTTATTCATGGTCAATGAATAAGCAGATGCACTCATGCTGTAAACAATACTCACGAATGAATTTTTGTTGCATAAATAATGTAAAAAATGAGGTTTCACGTCATCCAATCACTCAAAAGAGTGTTTAGAAAAAGTTATTTTTATATTGAATCATTCAATGAATGAAATCTACAATTGAAACACATCACTCTTACCGAGGTCATTTCGGCTCATTAGCCCAGAATATCCTTGAATATTTGATATAATTGCACATGTGCAAAAATATTGTCCAGTTGGACGTCTATTTTGAAACATAAATTTTTTTTAAAAATAAATCAAGGATTCTCTTTTGGGACTCGAGGTGGATATTTTTCAAAATTCGAGATTAATTCTTCGAAATTTCTTTCGAACTAAAATGAACATGCAATAGATGGATATGAATTTGTTTATTTTGAAATCTTCAAATGTGTGATTCTCCAAATAATCAACACCTTTCTAACTGGAAAGATTGCTCATAAATATCAAATTTCATTTTTTCAAGATTTTTTGTACGTATCGTGAATATTTCTACTGTTTTTCAGACATAATTTGACTTTTTATGTCATTTTTTTTCTATTATATTTTGGATTTTTACAAATATTCTAGGTATGATTATATGAATGGGTTGGAGCGAAAATGTAATACAGAAAAGTTGAGCGGAAAAATGTCAAATGAAAAGGGATAGCTATATAGTTCACTATAATTCACTATATAGCTAGTACTTTCTGTATTACATTTTCGCTCCAAACCATTCAAATATGTGATATAAAATGAGTAGAAAATGTAATAGAGAAAAGTTGCGTGGAAAAATGTCGATGATGAATGAGCGGAAAAGGGATAGCTTTATAGTATATTTTATAGTAAACTATAATGAACTAAATAGCTATCTCTTTTCATTTGACATTTTTCCGCGCAACTTTTCTCTATTACATTTTCGCTCCAAACTACTCAAATAGTTGAGTGATAGTTTCATAGATTCTACATTTGGTGTAGAGATTATTGTCGAAAACGCTAGTTGAAATGATTTTTTAATAAAATATCGGAATAGACTAAAAAAAGTACTATTCAAGCGGATAAATTCAAACCTATCATACAGAAATATTTATATATTTGCTTTTCGTTTTATACTTTACTTGGTCATAAACCGTCTGCCTGAAATCTAAAAATGCTTTTTAGTCAGCGCACCCAAAGAGATAAATAATTTTCATAACATTTTCCATGTTTTTTTTTTTTGAAATCATATCTTAATTATTTATATACTTTAGTTGCATTGTGTGGTATGAAAAATCTGTGTCTTGTTCGGTATGTGTACTAACCACTAGACAAAGCAAGCGGATCTCTGTCGGTTTGTCTGTTTTCAGATTTAATTCCCTCTGAGCCCAAATTACTCACAAGCACACCGATCCTTTATGCATTCAATTGTTGATCTTAAAATTCAGATCAAATGAGATACATAAAATAAACGAACTGAGAATGAAAAAGGATGAAGCTAATGCTTGAACTACAAACGCAGCGTGTTTGTG